CAGCTGTTGATTTGCAGCCTGCTAGATCATCTGTTGCTAATGCCCATGTGAACTCTGAGATCAATGGCTTGAATACTGCTGGCTTTACTTTGAAGCCAAGTTCTATGAGGAGCGCTGAGCAATCCAGTCAATTTCTTTCTAGTAGTTCTCAAATTAATTATTGGAAGAATGCAAACCCCTTTGTTAAGGGTCAAGGAAGTGACGGCTTGGAGGAATCACAGCTTCGTGTTATCAGGGATAACCAATTTTCAAACTCATTGCAAGCCACCTCTGATAGAGAAGTTAAAACTCATGAGATGGATAACAGAGACAAACAGGAGAACTCCAATGACAGCTACCACTCCAACGTATCACACCACACATCTGTTGGTAGTTTGAGGGGAAATGCGTTGTCTGATGTTAGTGATTCAAGGCCTGGCAAGGAAAAGTTTACTAACCAAGTTGGCAAGAAAATTTCTACACGGAAATTTCAGTATCACCCTATGGGAAACCTGGATGAAGATGTAGATCCTCATGGAGTGAAAAAGCCTATACACAAACAGACTGTGGTTCAGCAGAATGCCCAGTTTGGCCAGTCAATGTTTTCCCCTCAGGTTTCAAAGAGTTCTATTGAAGCGGGAAAGGTAAATGTGTTCCCAGTGTCACACATGTAATGTAAACTCCAAATTCTGGTCTGACAGTATTGTTGGATTTTATTTGCAGAGGCAACCATTTGATGGCCTAAGAGATGGCAAAGGCCTAGCTGAGGCACATTCTCAGAGCTGCTTCCCTAGCTCTGGATCAAATATGGCTGCCTGTTTGAGTAGATCTATTGATATTCACTCACCTAATGCTGATTCTCCATCTAGGTATTTGATAACTGTATTCTTCCTCTCTTGTGAATCAGTTCACTTTATGTTAATGGAATCTGCCATTAATTTGTTGTTTATTCATTTGGATTGTTTTAATTGAATGCTGTAACATATGTGCAGTTTGCTTTTGAATGCAATGACCATTGGTAGTATTAGATAGATTATCAGTAACCTCATTCTCTTGTGAAGCTTCATCACAAATGTTATAAAAACTCCATATATTTAATCTACACCTTATAGTTTTCTTTAATATTGTGAACTGTTCTATTATTGCAGTCCAAACATGCTACAGCTTCTACAGAAGGTGGATCAATCCAGAGAATTTGGTGCCTCAATGCAGCAGAATGCATCATCTGAAATGCCAGAAGCGGAAAACTCAGATGGGTCTATGGCACACCTGCAGCGAAGCCATTCATCAGCTTCTCAAGGATATGGCTTACAGCTTGGTCCTCCATCCCAATGCATTCCAACTAAAAATAACTTACTTTCATCTCAAAGCTCTATGCAAACTGTTAATTCTTCATTTGTGAGTCATTCTGCTGTTGATATTGGTGAAAATGGTCAAGCACAGGCTGCTCCTCCATCTCAGGTTCAATCTTCACCTTTTTCCCGTGGTACAATCCAAGGAGAGTTGAGTAATAGTAGATCTGGAGTTCCAGGAAACAGCAAGAATGAATCCACTCTTCATAAGATGCATGGGAAATTTTCATCAGCATTTAGTTCTGGCTATATGTCTTCAAGAAGCCTGCTTGAAAATCAGCAGATGGTTACTGGACAGGCTTTGATAAATCAGTCCAATAATTCTTTCAAACGTGCTGCTAATTCTACAGGGAAAGATGATTCTCATGGGGAAGCTTCTGGTGGTCTTTCTATGGAAATTTTCTCACGTGAGGCAATGGGCAATAGTTCACATGCCAACTTACCTACATCCTTGGATACTGCTAAGCCAACTAGTTACAGCAATACTTGTGAAGGGGTCTCAACCCCTCAAACATCAGTTCAGCATCTTCCAGTTTCTCAGCCTACCACTGTTTCTGGCATCTCTCAACAAAAGTCCTTATCAGAAGTACTGAATAATATTTCAGCCAATTCTCAGGCACATCTATTTGGTGTTCAGTTTCATAAGGAGTTGTCAAACCAATTGAATATTGTTGAATCATTGTCCTCTGCTTTAGGCAGTCAAGGGGATCAAGATACGACAAATGGAAGGAAGTTCTCATCTGAGGTTGATGCAATTTCTGTAAATTCATTGGGTAATGTTCAGGGAGAAATGAAACAAGCAAAGCCACAATCCTCTAGAAACATTGACCCTTCTCAGGAACTGAATGAATCCCAAGGAGAAGCTACAGTCAAGACCGTTTCGGATGTATCTCCTGTGAATTCAACATCAATGCAGAAAGATATTGAAGCCTTTGGCCAGTCTTTGAAACCAAATAACTTTTCTCATCTTAACTACTCAATAAATCAAATGCGGGGCATGAAGAACATGGAGACTGAACAAAGCAATATGATGCTGAAAAGAATTAGAGCACCAGATGGCAGTCCAGGTGGTCAACAATTGTCTCATGCATCCTCTCCTTCAGGAGATTCTGGAATGTTAAGCTTGCCTGGGTCAGATAATTTGGAAAGAAACAGAACTGCTCAACAAGGAACAGTACCTACTCAGGATATGCCTGCACTTTGTCAGTATGATTCTCAGAGCAGTTCTCTTGCAAATAGTACTTCTGTTAAACAGGAGCACAATCAAATTACTCCCCAGATGGCGCAATCTTGGTTTAATCGGTATGGAACCAGTAAAAATGGGCAGACATTGCCAATGCATGAGGCACAAAAAGCTGCTGCTGCGCAAATTGCTGAACCACCTTTCAGTTTTCGGAAGTCTTCCAATAGTTTGCATGCAATTAATTCCATGCAGCAACTAATGGCTGCTAATACTGATAGAAGCCAACATAGTACTGTTGGGCAAAGCTCGCTCCCAACACCAGTCCATGTTGAGCATTTTCCTTCACGATCTTTGTCAGTAAACATGATTGGTCAGCATTCAATACCAAGACCGAAGAAGCGCATGCGTGTTACAGAAGATCTGAGTCCCTGGTACAAAGAGGTTTCACAGGATTTGCAGGATCTTCAGAATATCAGGTTTTTATTTTCCTAACATCAATAATCATTCCAATGTCACTTGAGGTTTCATTGTCTCTATGCATCTTTAGTATATTGTCCTTAAATACAACTAGTGCCTGGTGCCTGCTAATATGCTTGAACTGTCTTGCAGTGGTAGTACTGCAGAAAGAGCTTGGGCAAAAGGAACCAATCGGCTTACTGAAAAGGTGCAGTATTTAAGTTGGTTGTACTATTGTGTGCTCTGAATTTTACTTTGTTTTTTAGTTTCTAAATAGCTTCTTGTAACGAAAGGTTGAAGAAGACATCAGTTTGACTGAAGTGCCACCAAGGCAAAGAGCTAAAAGAAGGCTTCTCTTGACAACTCAGCTTATGCAGCAATTATTTCACCCTCCACCTGCATCAATTCTTTCAGCAGATTCCAAGTTGAAGTTTGAGAATGTGGTTTACTCAGCTTCTAGATTGGCTTTGGGTGGTGCATGTGGCCTGGTTTCTAGCTTTAATGGAAAGACCAGTATGACCAATGCAGATGATGACAAAGAGCTGTAAGTTTTCCTTGGATTTATGTGGAGCTTGTTTAAACGTCTTATTTGTTTTTTTTCCCTCTAATAATATTTCTTAATATGTTCTGTAGATCGTTTGATAAGCACAAAACATCAGAGGGCAATGGTGATAAGCATTTTTCAAAAATTGTGGAACAATTTGAAGAGAGAAAAAGGAAGTTAGAAGATGATTTATATGAGTAATGCCCTACATCTTTGTTTCCCATTTATTGTTTTTGAGTAAAAGAAAATGAGACCAATACTGCAATGTTGTAGTAACAGGTGTAAATGAGCTGCGCCTAATCTATGATGTTTGGCTTGCCTGGTGAAATAAACAATCTGTCTCAAGCTCAGATTATTTATTTCACCAACTTTTCTTTTACATTTTCAGATTTTCTGCTTATTCCTCCTGTTTTTTCCCTCATCCAATCTTTTCCTGAATGCAGATTGGACTACAGCGCATCATGTTTGGATTTGACACTGGAAAGACAAGATCTGGATAAGTTCTCAATTATCAACCGATTTGCAAAGTTCTATAACCGCGGGCAAGCTAATGCTTCATCTTCCTCAGATCCACGTATTCTTAAAGGTCAGCCACAGAGATACGTGACTGCACTTCCAATGACTAAAACAGATCTTCCTGTTGGGGTACAATGTCTTTCTCTATGATTAAATTTATTCTTCCCCATTTCTAGTTGCAATATTCTTTTAGTCCTGGGTATATGCACAATGCACTGCCACCCGCTACAACACATGGAAACCACAGAAAGCAGAGTGGATGACCATTAGTTTGGTTAAGATAGGCTTTGATCTTTTCCCTTTTAGGTCATTGATGATATTATTGAGACAATACAAATGCAGTCCATGTGTATACTTATTTGAAATGAAGGAATGTTGCCCCATCATTTTTTTTTTTTTTAATTTTTACAAGAAAATGGGGAGAAGAGTTATTAGGCCTCAGAAATCCACAACGCAAAATATTCATGTTATTGGCTACGCACATTGCGCATCACACATAAATTACATAGCATGTATTGTATAATATATCGATATTTGGTTAAAAGTTTCTTAGAGATCTTTGTGTTGTAATATTTTGTTTAATTTAGATTATTATTTTTGTTTTCATTTGAATTTTGGCAGATTTTGTCATTGTACCTTCTAAAACTGATTTCAAAACTAAATACAATCACTAATAACATTGAAGGAAGCCATTGGTGATCTCGAGATAATTGAGCTTAATTAGTTAGTTGAGTTATCCAAAATAGTTAGCTTATCAACCAAGGTAAACAATCAATATGAGTGTTTGATTACTTAGCTTTTTGTAACAACTTATTGTTCTAAAATGTTAAAATTTAAAAAATTGTTCAAAGTAGCTTTTCCAATTCATTTTTTGAGAAAGTCATTTTGTATGTAATCAGCTATTAGCTAACAACTAATTTACTAAACACTTTTCTACAATCAACTAATGCTATTAACTAGTCAAATTTACTAACCCAATCAGCTACCAACCATTACTAACCCAATCAATTACCGGTCATTTACCAAACACCTCTAAGGAATGGAATTGAAGTGTGATGGGTATGCAACATAAGTACAATGTGCTTTTTGTTGGTAGTCGCAAAATGAGGTATGGAGTGTGTTTCCAGCTTCCATGGTCAAGAGAGGGTAATGTGAACTTCCTCTCCTACTATGCCGAATATTTCATCGATCCTGAAAGAAACAATAGAATGAGGGCAATACAGTATGGCAGCAAAGAAGCACATTTGAAGATATTTCATTCTCTTTTTTATAGTTCTGATGAAAACAATGTTACCTCAATCTGTCAATGTTCACTTCTGCAAGCCATGTTGTTAAGTATACCTGCAGATAATACGGTTTCAATTACCAAGTCCCTCCACATATCTAGCATCAGCATGAATCCATGGTAATATGACAAATTTCATGTTTATTAAAACCAAAGGGATCCTATATTTGAGATCAGCGTCTGAAATGTCTATTTCATCTACTCCCGAGGATAGACTGTACTCGAGAACTATAAATGTATCATAAATGTTCGTGGTCTAAGCCCCTTGGATTAAGTTATCCTTGACTTTGAAAAAGTTCCATAATATGTCATGAATAGAGAACTATATGCAGATTGCAGAGTTAATCCAATACCTGGAGAACATTCCGCTCTTCTTGATGGCCAGATAAATTTGTAGGCATATCTGATTTGTAACTTGCGTCACCTGGAAAGATTAGCTCACTAGCTTCATCGGAGTACAAACCGCATATAATGAGATCATCAAACTCCCCCGGATATAACTCCTCTGACCAAACAATGCTGTTGTTATCTTCGTCACTAATGGAGCAGAACTCCATTACAAGTAACCGCTGCATGGTATATCAAATTTTCATGCAAATTGTTTAGAAAAGGGGGAAGTGTCCCATTATTGAGGGCTAGATTGGTGACTGACCTTTAAACCTATTTCAGATTTTAACATTTGAACCAACTCTTCCGCCATTTTCTCTGAAATCATTTGAACAACTGTCAGGAAGCTTGATCCAGTGCAAACATTATTGCTAAAGCTTCAAAGAGAGGCATACCAAAAGAAGTGATTGCCAAAAATGTGAACACAGGAACTCCGCCACCATCACCAGTGTCATTCTGGTTATCTTGGTTGCTAGAAAACTGTATAATTGGGCTGCTGCTCGTCCCTTTGAGATAACACCTCATGGATCTAGAAGTGTTGACCATCTGAGTTACAATGCCAACCTGTATAAAGTCGCATATAAATCAAAACACAAATATTCCCACGGTTCAACTTCACATAATTTTGCAGAAAAAGAAATCAAAATAATAACAATAGTTGATAAAGAGAATGCAGATACTATGTAAAAGCTACTTATTCGACTTTTAGAGCTCTCCTCCTATTTGATCTGGATATTTAGTCAGTCTTGACAAATTGAAAATGTTTCTAAGGTAAATTTACTAATAGAGCTTAGACTAAAACACTTTCAGATTAATAAAATCTGATATCTTTCTTCTTCCTCTGAACAAAATGCTTCCACCTCCACATGTTATAAGGTGAAAGTTTCGACCGTATCCAGGCCAAGAAAATTAGGAATCTCATGAACAAAGAGCATTGCAGATGTTATCAGTCAAGAATTATACAGTGGTGTATATACACACCACACGTTTTTCCAGGACATCCACACAAGAACTCATAAACTACCGATGACGAAAGTAATTTCTATCAGCTAGACTATGATATATAGGCATTCATCGCATTAGAGAGGAAAAGAAAACCAAGATCAATACTCAATAGCAGCAGCAGCAGCAGCAGCCAGAATGTTATCATGTTTGCAATCTTCACATACTTACCATATTTTTGTAGGATGACAAGAGGTTACTTCTATTGGTCACCTAAAGAGGAAGAAAGGAACAAAATAAAGATGAAGTTAGTGGCATTAAACTCATTGCAAACATCCAAGGTAATGGAATGATGCTGCTTCATTGTTCCCATTCCAGAATCATTCATTCACCTGCTGCCTGGATAACTTATGGCATGCTTTCTTTCTTATATCTGGCATGTCACTCAAAACTCCCAACTCCATTCCATCCATGTACCTGTACACAAGTTGCAGTTCATATGTATATTCAAATTCATTCATTCATTCAATTTCAGACTCAATGGGGACTCTAGGGTTAGCTTGATTCACAAAAATTGCATTCTAAACATGATTATGAATAGGTGAAATTGATCTGCAGTGAACAGAGATGGGGGAATTTTCATCCCTTTTTTCAATCGGTTTTACCTCTGCGAGAGATACGAGTTTACTAGAGAAGTGGCGTGCGAGCGAGCGGAGGAGGAGTAAGACAGCCAGTCCTTCCAGAGAGAAACCAATTTCAACCACTGGTTTTTGATATTCCGCTGCGCCGCCGGCCTCCACTGCCGCAAAACTTGAGAGGACTGTGGCGTCGACGGCGGCGGTAGTTGTGGCGCCGGAGATTTCGCGGCAGGGCTTTGGAGATTGGGCTCCATGGATGCCAAGGTTTTTGATTCCATTATATTAATTACTCCGTACAAATTTCATACGCTTATAGATATCGAGCGGATTGTATCAAATACGGAGTACAATTTTCTGTTATATGAATATTATTAGTAATCAACACTACTGTACTATAAAAGTAAATATGATAGTTAATAATACTCATTTCTTTCAGCAATATATCTGACAATCAATTATTCTTTCGTGATAATTTTTATTCTTAAAATCAATCAAACAATACGATAAAAATTCCATGATTCGTATTCTCAATTCCATGATTCATATTCTCTGTGCTTCCCATTTCATTTCTTCAAATTCCTCAGCTCGCAACTCTCCTCTCTTCACTTCATCTGCAGTCCAATTCTTCGCTGGTACAAATCCGCAGCTTAAGCCGGTACGTACACTTCAACTTCATCTTCCATCTTCATCCTTTCTGCTTGCAAAGAATTTTCATTATATTCCTTTTCAAGTATCCCCTTTTCTTCACTTCCATCATATATAGAAGCACTTTATTTCTTGATGAATGATGAAAAATATCTCCTTTTCTATTGTCTGGTGACTAATTAATCCCGATCGAGTTTTCAGACAATATTTTCGTTTTTATTGTCTTGATAAATAGCTTTTAACTGATTGTGTTAGTGAATTTGATTAGTTGATAACATTAGCTGATATATAATTGATTACATGCAAAATGACTTTCTCAAAATATTGATGGAAAAAATTACTTTGAGCAGCTTTGCCTATTATTTCCATCACTCATTTTGTTCCTTGTATTTGCATATATGCCTGCAGGCAGTTGCTTGCAACCTAATCACCACCAGCAACATTCACTGACAAGAAGTGGTAGGGGAGATGTTTGGGCATCTGTGGAATCGGTTTTGTGACCTAGCAATGGTACTATACTTTTCTTAGCCAAAATACTTTTTTTTTTTTAAAGTGACGAGGAAAACTCACTAACCATTCAGCAAACTGTTTCTGTAACTTTATGGTTATCATGTCAACTGTCCCGATCCTGTCCCTTGGGGCACAACAGCAATCAGTTGAGTTATATCCCACGACGATTGACTAATTAATGCTTGTAGTGCAGGTTTCAAGGCCTGTTGAGAAGGGTTTGATGGACAAGGCAATGGAAGTGGCAGAAAGAGTGAGGATAAAGCAGGTTACAGAAGAAGGGCTTTTACAAGGTTGTTGTCCTGTGTGTTCAGGGGCTATCCTGTCGGCGCCGGAATCTGATGTAAGGATGTTGCTGGCTGCGCACTTCTGTGACTTGCACCCCGTAGATGTCTACTCGATGTGGGATAAGATGGCTGACAAAAAAGAACCAGAAGTTGTGCGCAGGCCTTCCTTTATCTTCGCAGTTGGGATGGCTGCTGGAGTTTTAGCCCTCACTGGAGTCTTTGTGCCAATAATATAATTCCCCCGCCATGCATGCATGGTTTCCACTAGTGAAAGGTTTTAATATGTTTGGGCACACATAGATAGATCAAAGATCAGTACGTTTCTGGCTAGTATCTTGAGTTACTGCTTTGTAATAATGAAATCTTGAACTAGCAAACCAGTTGGGATCACATACCAACTCATATTTTTGCTATTCAGGATGCTAATAAATATTGATGACGTCAAGTAAGTAGGGAGTAAAAAGTATCCGTAGTACATGTTACTTTTTGTTTTTAAATACTTTTGCATATGGTGTCTGATAGGGATATTGTCAGGTTGTACACCTAGCGACCGGTCATACGATAAGCAACGAAGCTCGAGGTCTCTCTGACCTTGTCTCGATCGGACCTAACCGATCCCTTTGATCTCCCGATCGTTTTTCCTCTGTGGACGCATAGACTGGTTAGTCTATAGGTCGTCCCGAGGCTCGCGAAAAGCCCGACCATGCCAGGTTGGTCTCGATCGCACCGCCTTTCAATACGATGTGACCTTGTCAGGAACATATCACCGCGTGTCAATGGTCCCTTTGGGCCTGTTCTGGACCCCTGCATGCTCACCACGTGCCAGCCATGCCAATGGCCCGGATCCTGCCCCTTTTCCCTCTTACAAATAGCAGCATTTATTACTGAGAGGGGGGCTTTTTACCTACTGGACACCCATATTACTTGACCGGAGACTCCCGACCTACTGTTAGAGAATCCCGGACTCGAGTAAGCAATACAGTACTCGATACACCTACGTTCGTATATACCGTATCAGTCCCATTTGAGACTTTAAACTTTTTTGTGTCGTAAACAAATATTTGACAAGTTTCTATCCATTTTAATATCCTATATCATGGATGGAAAACTTAGAAGGACAATAGGCTCGCTATGGTGATAATAGTGACACAAAAGATATTACTAATGAGATTTGGGGGTTGGGGTTCATGGATTTATTTTGGATTTCACCAACATTTTTTTCTTATTTATTTTAGATACAAAGAGAAAAAGGGTAACAAAATGAACTAAAAATTACACCAAACGACAACACAATTCTCATAGAGTCCCTTTTCAAAAAAAAAATAATAAAAAAAAAATAAAATAAAATTCTCATAGAGTCCACAATTAAAATGGACTTTTAAGTTTTAATTGTCTACAGTAAAGTAGTCAGTAGCAGACTTTCTCTTCTTCCCTCTCGCGCTTTTTCCTTTTGAACCGATTCCTTTTCCTTTAAATCCCTCAAGCTCGCAACTTTCCTCTCTTCGCTTCATCTGCACCCCAATTCTTCATAGCTAGAAGTCCGAACCTTATGCCCGGTAGGTACGTACACTTCAAGTTCATCCTCCGTCTTCATACATTGTAGCGTTTATGTGCATAATATATGTTTTTCTGCTTACGAAGAATTTTCGCTATTCACAGATGCCCTTTCAATTATCCCCTTGTCTTCACTCCCAATGTAATAGCCCATTGTTTCTTGATGCTTCTTCAAGTATGAAAAGAACTCCTTTTCATTGAAAACAGTTATTCCGTAATAATTTTATGTGTCAACTAAAACAGGTTGCTATCAGAAGAACAGTAAAGAAATTGGGGAAAGACCCAAATTTTGTCTGTCTTTGTTTTTGTTTTTTTCTTTGGCCAGTAGATGTTCATTCTGAATGGTTGTGTGTTATATGCTGTTGGATGAGTTAGTGCTGCAATGTTTATTTATGGGTGTATTAGAGGATTGAAGATTTTGGAGCTCAAGCTTTAGATAGTGTTTCTGTTTTTTTCTTTTTGGAGTGAGAAGGAAACTCGCAACCACTTCCTTAGGGTGTGCACCAGGTAAATCACGGATTGTGACCATAACAGGCAAAGGGGTACAAGAAGGTAAGTCAGCTTAGGTTGCCCATAATTGACCGGTTCAAATCAAGAAGGCCAATAGGCCGCTCCTATTGAGAGTCAAAGTGATAACCTTGTGATTACTAAGTTAATAGTCTCGCCAACTTGGCTGGGTTGCCTCTAGATAGTGTTTCTAATGAGTGTGTACAGTGTATTACTGGAATAGTCAACAATATGTATCTTAAATACCCATTACTATTATAAATTCTGCTTGGAGTATGAGCTTATGGTAAGGTACTGAGGTTTTCCTTTCCCTATCATTTTTGTGCTTGTGTTGTGGAGAACTGGAGATTGTCATACAAGTTCTTGGAGAAAATTGCAGAAAGTAGCAATAGAGTAATCTTGATTGAGCTGTTTCCTGTGTCGTTTGCAACATTGAAGTTGATATCTTCTTAATGGTCATTGGAATATAAGGCTTTAACAGTGACCATTACTGCTAAACCAATACCATAATCTTTAACTGCATTTGGAGTCAACTATTGTTTCTGCCACTCATTTGCTGTTTATTGCCAAACAGTTTCTTGCAACTTATTGTCGAGTAGCCTTCACTGCCGAGAAGAGGGAAGATGAGTAGGTTGGTGCGGTTGACATGGATGCGATTGTGTAAACTAATAATGGTACTATACTTTTCCTTAGCAACAGTCTGATGTTTATATTAAATGTATAATCCTAGTGGTGTCTAAGGAATACGTGTACAGATTTCCAGGCCTGTTGGGAAGTCTTTGCGAGATAGAGCAATAGCAGTGGCAAGAAGAGTCTCGATAATAAGAGATAAGGATGCTGGGAATATGAAGGCGTGTTGTCCCGTTTGTTTGGAACCTTTCAACGCCCCGCTGGATTCTGATCTGAGAATGACGTTGGCTATACACTTGAGTCTGTGGCATGCTGATGATGTCAACTTGATGTGGGAGATGATGCAGAACGAAGGAAAATCAGTCGTCCACATGCCCTCGTTCTTCTTTGGAGTCGGGATGGGTGCTGGAGTTGGAGCCCTGACTCTTTTGGCCAAAAATTGGGTAACCACTAAAGCTAATAAAAGGTAAAATCTTCTTTGGAATTGAAGCATGTGCTCCATCTCTAAAAGCCTAAGCTGATAGTTGGATTGCACATTAATGGCTATATGCTCAATATCTGAGAACTGTTTTTAGCATCTTTAGTTAACGTTGTAAAACGAAATCTTGAACCAACAATTGAGTCGATACAAAGTGATTACAAAGGAATGTCTTTTAACATTAGTTTTAATGTGTTTTCTTTCTTAACTATTGTGATATGAATGTTTAACATTTGCGGTATAGTTTGATAGTGCCATAGATCGATAATTGAGCTAGCTCACGAGTGTAGAGATCGAAAGACAAGGAAGCAAAATGGATAGTAGTATAAACATATTTTGTGATTAGCTGCCAAAGGAATAGAACACATACATGAATATGTTATTGTCATCACTGTTCATTAAACATATAACTTCAACAGAGGGATAATCATACAAGTAAAAAACAGAAGAGAATAATCCACAATCTTTATATCACTTGATCTGTTCCAAAATTTGTAATACCAAAATAATCAAATACAATTTATAAATACGATGATAGTACAGCTGCACTACTTTTGGAACAACTCGTGGTGCGCTTCCCACCTATGATCCTATCAGAAGCATTCACTCTGTTCTTCAGGGCGCAATGACAAACAAGGGCTGCAACGAGGAATTATAAGTTATATACATATCAGCACAAATGAACCGAAATAGAGATAGAAGGCATGCAAAACGTGTCTGAAAGAGAATAGAGACATACTGTGTCCACACTGACAGGCTTGCCATCTTCAGCTACTATCTCGACTATAGTCCCAGATTGATCAGCCTGATAAATTGTGTTTTAGAAAAATACGATCATTTGCAACCTCTAAGCATTTATCAAAACAATTCAATTGACCTATGGTCATGTAGATTATAAGATCTTAACAATACAAATTCACAAGTATTAACGTTTTGGATTATGTCAAGAAAACATAAAATGTGATTGAAACCCCACATAAGTGAATCATTGAGCAAGGAACCCACCTCAATTTCATTCATCAGTTTCATTGCCTCAATGATGCAAATTACTTGCCCTTTTTGGACTTTGTCTCCTACCTGGGAAAACACAAATATAATTGACATGAACGAAAATAGAAACTATAAAGTATAAGGAAAAGTCCGGTTAGAGGGAGGGGGAGGGGGGACCGACTATAGAGCCTAGCCAAGACACAAAGTAACCCTCTTGCAGTAAACACCTAAGGTTATAATAACTTAGAATCTGTCTATATTATAACTGAAACTACTATGCAAAATGTTTGGCGTTACTGATTTAAACATGGAACTTTATCTATCTCTCCATCTTCTGCTTTACTTGGATACTTTGATGAGTTAATAAACATACATACACGATTGCAATGGGCGACAAAAACACATCATGGTTGAATCAAATATGAGATGAAAGCAACCTTAATCATGTACCTTCACAAAAGCTGGTGCCCCTGGGGCAGGGGAGCGGTAAAATGTTCCCGCCATGGGACACTTAAATGGAGGATGAGATGACGCTGGCTTCGAAGGGGCCGGAAGGGCAGGCACCACTTTAGCAGCAGCAGCAGCTGGAGCGGGAGCAGCAGGAGGAGGCAGCTGGGGCTGAGCATAGGCCTGCGGGAATGCAGGCTGTTGCATCACAACGGGAGCAGGTGCAACGTTTTGCTGCAACGCTTCCTTCTTCCTTATAACGATTTCACAGCCATTCTGCTTTAGCTTCAACTCAACAATGTCTCTTGAATCCACAAGCCTAAGCATATTTGACAAAATTTGAATTAAATTAAAGAAACCACCAAACAAGCTGAAGTGTTCATCTGAATATGAAACTGTGCTCACTCAACAAGCTGGGCTGCTTGAGACATGAATGCTGAAATTGAGGAAGCATCTGGGATAGTCTTCTCAGTTTTGGGAATTTCTTCATCAGTCTTTTTCTCTGCAACTGGCTTAGAATTCGCTGATTTCTCAATGGCAGCAACCTTAATATTTGAAACAATCGACATTAAAAAATTCCAGCCCTAAAGAAATGTTTTTTTACCATAAATTAACAAACATCTACACCCTGGATCGATTGCTTTTACATAAAACATACGCGAATGAACAAAAAAAGAAGCTCAATTTACCTCACTGATCTGCGCACGCACCTTAAAACCACCCTGGGCGATAAGAACGAAGATTTTTTTTAAAAAAATCAATCTTTACCTCATTTATATTGAATATTCGGAGAAGAAATGGAAGCAAACCTGCAATGCGGGCCCGGATCTCGAACCAGATCGGAAAGAAACGGAGTTCTGGGGCGGAAGAAGCTGGCGGGTCTGGGCGGAGGAAGCGGAGCCAGTCAAGAAAGCGGAGGTCTTGGGAGAAGGGACGGTGAAAGAAGCCATTGAGAGAGAAAAACAGTGAAAAACCCAAATCCAAGAAGTGAGGCAGGAATTGTGGAGGTGCGGAGGGATTTGTAGAGGAGAAGCGGCGGTGAAACTGAGGAGAAAATGGCAGAGTAATATAGAACCAAGCACCTAACCGAGGTTGAGGAGGCGATACTTACGAAGAAAGGGGACGATGGGTTTAAGATTGCTGCGTCGTTAGTGTGAAAAGTAGATGCGACACTTCGCACTGCGTAGGGCTTGCCTCTACAACTCGGATTGACAGGTACTTCCGGTTTCAACATGGACACTCATTTACTATACTTATTATTATTTTTTAAAATTTTTCAAATACATCATCTGATATCATCGATATTATAAGACTAATTTGAATTCAGTTCGAATTGTAAAAACAAAAGTGTTGTTCTTATTTTGCTTTACGTTGGTATGACGACGTGCTTAGTAACGGAGATTTTATTGATGAGCATACTTTTAATTGGACGTCTTTGATTTGTTAGCCGATAAGATGTTTGAAAATGACCAACTAGGTGGGTTGGTTTGGACAACATGACATTATTGTTCAAATATAGGCAAACCATATTTGTGATGGTTCCTACTGATCCAATATTAACAATTGGGTCTATGTAGTTAAGGGTGTGCATTACATTTCAATTAATCATTCCTTTAATTGCAATATTCCAGGACTATGTGATCTAATGGTATCCGGGTTGGACTTTTATTTGGAAGATTGTGAGTTCGAGCCTCAGTGGAGGTGCACATACTGCTGCGCTATAAAAAAAAAATGAATAATTTGAATCGAAAAATGTAAGTTAATCAAAAATTTAAAAAATTGTCAAAATTGTCTTGATTAATATAGAAATATGAAATTCAACTCGATTAAGAGTTAACTAAAAAACTGGAATTTGAATTCATAACCTCTCATTTGGAAGCGTCAATTCGTGTCACTTGATCACAAGGTCATTAGCAAAAATTGTATTACCTTTTCAAACACTTTAAATCGATTAACTTTCTTAACAAACAAGTGTTTAATACGGAGTACAAGGGATGAAAATATGCTAAGTTGGGTTGGGCTTTATAAATTTAGGGTTGGGCCTATTATAAAAATCAAAGATTTGAGCCTCTATGCAGGCTGTTTGTTAGGCTTAAATCTTAACTACAATTGCAATTGTTATACCATGGAACAAGTTTCATATTGTTTTGTGAACCCTAATACAAAAATTAGGTACATTCAGTTAACATATTTTGTATCTACAGTTAACAATTTCTGTACATGTAAATAAACAATTTGATAATTGCTGACATGTACAAAAACTATTAACTGCAAGTACAAAATGTGACACACTATTAATATGCAATGGGTTTGTTTGATTAGAAGCTTGAATGATGCTCATTTAGCAAAAGTCATGACCATAAAGGAAGCTCTTTCGTGGGCTAAGGACAAAGACTTTGCGAAGATCTTGCTCCTTTCGGGATTGCCAGACAATTTGCAATTCAATCAATGGGGTTACAACAAATTTTGCTTAGGCAGGCTGTGTGATTGATAAGTGCAGAGATTCTCTTATTAAGTTTGCTTAGATTTAGGTGCATTAAAATAACAAATTAAGATGTTTAGTTGTAACTTTTTAAATTGGTTGACCTAATTATTTTTCTGCATAAAGGTTAAGTTTCATTAACAAGTATATATATATATATATATACATATATATATATATATATATATATATATATATATATATATATATATATATATAAATTTTTTTTTTTATTACCGACAAGTCTATTTGTAAAGTTTTATTTCCAACGACCAAAGCCGTAAACTTTATTAAACTAAAAAAGTATGATGTGTTGTACCAGGGGGAATAAAAGAACAAAAAAAAAAAAAAAAAAAAGTGTACTGAGGAAACCATGTCGATCAAAACCGTGTTAACATCGTGTGTCCCGTACGTCGTCAATAACTGAATATGGCCTGGTCGACAAAAGTAAAAGCAAACCCCACCATAATAATTTCCCGTCATGTCGATCAACGCCAAATGCCCATTTCCATTTTCCAGTTCATTCCCGACGACGAAATGCTACTCTATGGTCCCGTATAGTATGACAATTTTTATATGATTCATGCAACTGTACGTTATATCTATCTGATGGAGCCACCTTACACTTGTAGCTTTGAACACATGTGCAGCTCACAAACTGTCATTCTGACGTTGATGGTGAGGCTTAGAATAAATAGGACCTCACTCACGTACATCCTGGTATTTAAATGTGTTGGTTTAGCATTTACTAAAAATCAATAGAAAAATACGATTACTAAAAATCAGCGATTACTTAAAGTTCTAAATTAATTAAATCGGTTGAAATTAAAAAAAATGGCAAAAGAAAAATATAAAGAAACAATTATGTGCTTATTAAAAATAGGAAAAATCATGAAAAAGATTAAAAATGTTTAAAAAATAATAGTCTAGATGTTAAATACGGTAGCAAAAACAATAGTCTGGGATTAAATTTGGAATTACCATCAAAGTCAAAAAACCTCTAGCGAAATTAACTCAATTTATGTTTTATTATCTATATATATATATATATATATATATATATATATATATATATAACTTCGGTTAACCGTTCGGTTCATTCGATTAACTGACACTTTCAAGCCGAATTAATCATTAACCGAAGTTTTAAAAATCCTTTAATCATTAATCGAATTAAAAAGTTCAGTTAAAAAATAATTAACAAAATTTTATTGGTTCGATCGATTAACTGAAAATTATATGAAGTTTGCACATCGCTCCATAACAATGAAATATTGAATAGTAGAATACTCTTTCTTATGTCCGGGACCCACACGACCACACCCTGTCGCTCCATCCGACTGCCACGTGGCGTTCAGAGAATCCCCGGACGCTGTGTCCCTCTGTTTCGATAAATAGAATCTCAAGAATCTCTGTAATTGAATGAATTTCAGCTTTCAACCAATTTTCATAGATTTTCTATTCCCATTTTAGTGTCTCCATATTCATCATATATAATAATAAAAATAATAATATATATTCCTCTTCCCTTTTCGCTCTTCTTTTGTTCCGATTCCGATTTCGCGCCCTCTCTCTCTCTGCTAGGGTTCGCTACCGACACACTATCTAGATCCTTCGTGAGCTGCTTTTTCGATACTCTTTCCATTGATTCATGTTTGCATTTAGCATGATCGCGGATGATCACATCAATTAATGATCTCAATCTCATTATTTATTTCTGTTTTTGCTTTTGCTTTTGCTTTTTGTGTGTTTTTCTTGCCATGGAGTGATATGCTTTTGCTGCGGAATTTCCTTGCTCTTTGTGTTTTCATGATTGATAAGAATGGATTACAAATTTAGGGGGAATGAGGTTATAGTTCTGGTGGAACCTGATCTCCATTCTGTCATTGGCATACTGATATGGTTATTGTGTGTTTTGCAGGTAATTTGGGGGTAATTGTCCCCCCGAGTTCTTCGTCAGCTCGGAGGTTTAGGAGTAGGATGGTGTGTGTAGTAATGAGGCTGCAAAGGATGTTTCAGTTCAGTTGCTGTTGCTTTTGATTACAGAATGTGAAGAGTATATGAGTTTAGAGAGATGGAAGATTTCCGGGAACCTGATTTTCTGTTTCCGAGTTGGATTGTTAAGAATCACTCAGAAATGGCAGAATCTCGGGTTTTCATTCTGTCTTGTGTGGTTGCGGGGTTAATAGGGATTTTGACTATTTGTTACACTGTTTTTCAATGGAGAAGGAATATAAACTTGGGATGGATGAAAGCCATTGCTAGGTCGAAGAAACATCCGAAAGCAAGACACAAAGTTCCTGCTGCTCCTCACAGTTGGGAGCTGGATGATGTTTCTCGAGGGAAAAGTCTAAACTGTTTCGTATGCTTAAAGTCTATTTATCCCTCACAAACGCTTGGTCCTTTGGAGGGTGTTTTTAATATATGCAGCCTATGTGGTGCAGCAGCTCACCTGAGTTGCTCGTCAGCTGCTCACAAGGATTGCAAGTGTGTGTCTATGGTTGGATTTAAGCATGTGGTGCATCAGTGGGCAGTTCGGTGGACAGAGGTAGCTGATCTACCAGATGAGACTTCTTTCTGCAGCTACTGTGAAGAGCCATGCAGTGGATCTTTCCTTGGTGGATCCCCTATTTGGTGCTGCTTATGGTGTCAGCGTTTGGTTCATGTTGATTGCCATAGTAGTATGTGTAATGAGATCGGTGATATTTGTGACTTGGGCCCTTTCAGAAGGCTTATTCTGTCACCACTTTATGTTAAAGAATTGCGTCGAACTTCTTCTGGTGGATTACTTAGCTCTATTACTCATGGAGCCAATGAGTTTGCATCCTCTGTTCGTGCTACTATTAGAAGTCAAAGCAAGAAATACAAACATGGACATGAGAAACACAGAAATGAGGTTTCTGCAGAAACAGGAAATGTGAATGTTGTTGATGATCCTTCTATTGAAAGCACTGCTGATAGTAGTCAAGCAGTAAATGGCTCCCATATAATGGATGAGAACTGTAACGGTGGTATACATTCAGAGAGCGTTGACAAGGAGCAGGATGGTGATGTTAAGAAGCTGGAAACCAAGGCTAGTTTAAAGAAAAGTTCCTCTATTAATCAAAAGGATGAGGCTCAATCTATAGGGATGAGACAGAAATATGAGGTGACTGAATTGCCTTCTGATGTTAGACCTCTGCTAGTTTTCATTAACAAGAAAAGTGGAGCTCAACGAGGAGGTTCACTTAGGCGACGATTAAACATCCTTCTAAATCCCGCGCAGGTCAGATCAGATCATTTCCTTTATATATGCAAGAGATAATGCAATAGATACTCTCACCAACAGAGGTGTCAATGACATACAAATAGAATTTATTCAATAATATACTGCTGTGACTATACTGCAGTTCTATTCTAGTTGATATCGAATATAGCATCTCACTTTTTGGATTTTCCATTGTAGCACATGAATTTGTCTTAAAATTTCTTCTTTGTGAATGATCATTTTGGTGTCCTATGTGAACCATCCATTTTTAATTATCATGAAACATTAATTTATGTGTAGATAGAGTTTCTTTGAGCTGCTTAAGAACTTATCTATCAGTTAATCTGACATTGCCAAACATATTGCACAACTGCTCCTTGTTAGGTATTTGAGTTGAGCTCAGCACAGGGACCTGAAGTTGGCCTCTTTTTGTTCAGAAAGATACCCCACTTCAGAATACTAGTATGTGGAGGTGATGGTACAGTGGGCTGGGTTTTAAATGCCATAGACAAGCAAAACTTTGTTTCACCCCCACCAGTGGCCATACTTCCTGCTGGGACAGGAAATGATTTGGCTCGAGTTCTTTCTTGGGGTCGTGGTTTGGGCTCAGTTGAGAGAGAAGGAGGTCTTTGCACACTTCTTAATGACATAGAACAAGCTGCAGTCACTGTCCTTGATCGATGGGAAGTCTCTGTTTCATATCAACAAGGAAAGCAGCTTCAACCACCTAAATTCATGAACAATTACCTCGGTATGTTGACTGATTATCTTGACCATGGAAACATGTATAAAATAAGTAGATGCTTTAAGTACATCAATAGCTACAGTTATAAAATGATATAGCAGTTCTATTTGACTAGATAACTAATCTGTGGTAAAGATTATTTTAGGTGACTGGATTCTGTATATAGTAATTAGTTATTAATGATTATTACTTGTGTTCCCATTACTCATTGACTTCTCAATTACTTCAACAGTTCTTTACTTGAGACAGAACAAATTCCGTGTTTATCGCAACTACTCAATATTTTTATGAAATAGAATAATACTGGGAGATGTGTTATAATATGTGATGATATAAAGGACAAGCATACATGTGCACAAACTCAAAAGACGATCTTAATGTGCTTCTGTTTGACAACCAGAATATAATATTCAAAATTGTCTCATAAGTCATAATTGACTTAAAATGACCTTTGTTGAATTTCGGAAACTGAGCTATGCCAAAAAGGAAAAAAGAGACAGTATAGGATGTAACAACTAACTTCAATGTTTAAGAAGCATCTGTATTTGCAGTATTATTATTATTATTATTATTTTTTGAAAGATGCATTTGCAGTATTATTTAAGTGACCTATTTTTGTCCCTATATTCTTGAGCTCTCTCATTTCATTTTAATTCATAACTTAAAATTGGTATTTGGGAATTTTTTGTTGAATTGTATGTTTGCAGCTTGTCTGCTATGTGCATAATAATACAGCTAAGATCTTTGTCTCTGAAGTCTTGGCTATTGCTATGCAGGGGTTGGATGTGATGCGAAAGTTGCATTGGAAATTCATAATCTGAGGGAGGAGAACCCAGAAAAGTTCTACAATCAGGTAATTTAATCGTTACTTTTCCATGGAGTGCTTTGGGGTGTGTGTGTGGACCGGGAGGGGAGGTTTTTTGAAACTTTTTAGCATACCATCACATTATTATTATTATTATTATTATATATTTTTTCTGAATGTAATGCCGAGTTTTTAGGATTCAATTCAAGCTTTTAAAGGATAGAGCCTAAAAGCATAAACCTGATTGTAAAACTATGCATGAGAAGAGAGAATTTGTGTGTGAATGAGTATCCATAATCATTATAGATCCTGAGGGTGTTCTGTAAAATAATGTGACACAATACTTACCAAAAAGGTAATTTGACACAATAGATAGAATGCGTTTTAATTTTTATAGACCATGAGGATATACCTTGACTAATAATATGACATCATAGTATCATACTAATTAAAAAAATGAAAATAATTTTAATGTGAAAATAGATAATTAGATAAATGATATTTTAATTTGTCATCAGCATTAAATTTGTTGCTCCATTTGAAAGTAAACCAAGAAACTAGCTTGACTGATGTTCCTGCAGAACAGTAGAGGTAGCCTTGTTTACTTGAAATCTCGTGTGCATATATAGTTTCATATATTCCATATTTGGACTCTGACTACTTTGCTTTGGTTCCTGCAGCTTTTTCTAAACCCATCCATACTTTGACTTCCTTTGTTTTGTTTTGTTTTTCTAGATAAATTTTGTGTTTGTCATGATTGTTGTTCTATCTTCTCTTGGGATGGCTTGTACTAAGTGGAGGTCAACAGTCTATAGATTTCTATTATTGTTTCTAATTGTATTCTTTCTAAGTTGTTGGGCATTTATAGGTAAGTTGGCTGCCTAATGGCTACTGCTTTAAGTCAGCAACATCGGATCCTTATAACATGCCTCCTCTTTCATGTTGTTGTAGTTGTTAATTCATGTGCACATTTGTTGGGATCATATAAATATATAGTCAATACTTATTTCGTTTGGCACACATTATGATCTGAAACTTTAAATAATACTATTGCAGTTCATGAACAAAGTTCTTTATGCTAGAGAAGGTGCCAGAAGTATCATGGATAGGACTTTTGCAGATTTTCCTTGGCAAGTCCGTGTGGAAGTGGATGGTGTTGAAATTGAGGTTCCTGAGGTTTGTATAGAACTATAGAAGATGCATGTAAAGTTGCTTATGACTAGAATTACCTGATTTGATGTTTCTCTACTAATGATAGGCTTAATTAGTTATCAACATTATTTTTCCAGAGTGTGTATAATTCTTGATCTAATGTTTCCCTTTAATAATTTGAATTCTTCATTTTCAAATTACTTTGTTGATTGGCAATGTTGTGACATATCTATTGTTATCAGGATGCAGAGGGTGTTCTTGTAGCTAATATTGGCAGTTATATGGGAGGTGTGGACTTGTGGCAGAATGAGGATGAAAGCTACGATAACTTAGATCCTCAATCCATGCATGATAAGATACTAGAAGTTGTCAGCATTTCAGGGACATGGCATCTTGGGAAGCTTCAGGTATTTTTTGGTGTTAGTTCCATGTTTATGAAGTGTGGAGTAATATATTAACACTGTACTACTGTTACTGTAGTGATTATTAAATCGGTTGTCAATAGCTTTTTGAGCCAAAATGTTGAAGACCTTTTATATTTGTTTCACTATAAAGGTAGGGCTCTCTAAAGCTAGGAGGCTTGCTCAGGGTCAATCCATCAAAATCCAACTTTTTGCTGCCTTTCCTGTCCAAATAGATGGAGAGCCTTGGTATCAACCACCCTGCACATTGACCATAACACACCATGGACAGGTATCTCACTAGTCACTATTCCCTCTTCTCTGTCTGCCCACTCTATAATATGACTTGATATTTATTGCTTAATAAAGCATGGTGTAGGCTGCCTCTATTTCCCTGCTGTTCAGATCGTGCTTAATTTGAACCAAGCATAATATTAATTTTCTCAATTGCTCTACAGGCCTTCATGCTAAAGAGAGCAGCAGAGGAGCCACTTGGTCACGCTGCTGCCATAATTGCTGATGTACTCGAGAGTGCTGAATCTAGTCAAGTGATTAATGCATCACAGAAAAGAGCACTTCTTCAAGAAATGGCAGTTAGACTGTCCTAGATGTTTTCTTATACCACACTTATACTTTAGGGTTTAGATCTCGTGTTAGTTACGGTTGAGTTATAGCTTGCCCAGAAATTTCTTCTGTGTGCTTTTGTGTCAATTTGTGTGCACAAAAAATGTGGGAGAACTTGTCTGTACATGAACTGGACATGTTTGGTGTGTAAAGGCAAATTTTGTTGTGGTACTACTAAAATGTAAATTTTTATTTCCCAAAAATCTTATGAAATTGAGTTGAGGTTCTATTAACTTGCACGGTTCAATTTGCGGAAGTTTGTCCATCTCTATTTGGACCTTCAAGAATACAAATATATTTATGTGCTATTCTTATTGCCCTCTGTTACTCCATATACTGTAGAAGATGGACTGACAGGACTTTCCACAGCTTGGAAATCTTCACTTGCTCTTCACCATGCTCTTTCTGAACCTGCTCCACAAGTTCCTGATCAGGCATGTTCTCACTTTCTCATTCTTACATGCTTCAATACCAAATTTTGTGTTAGAGATTCTCTTCGAAGCTTTCATGAAATCTTTATGGATACAGAATAAAGCTTGATATGCAGGGTTACTGACAGTAGGAGATGGCGAGCCATTAATAGCGCGATTGAGTTGTTTGGTTATGGCTTGGAGTTCATAAGAGTCGTAGAGGCTGCTGCGATGCCGGGGGCTATGTTTCAGGGCCGGGCTGAGAATACTTGCCAGAGTCGGAGCAGTAGCAGCGGCAGTAGTCTTCGTTCTTGCCAATGTTTGTTCTGGGCTGATAATACTCGCCGGAGCTGGAGCCGGAGCCAGAGCAGCGCCAGTAGTCGTCATTCTTGCCAATGTTTGTTTGAACAAAATATGAAGTGAGCGCTCGGATTTGGAATATGAAGTTAGCGCTTAGGATGAGATGTAACGTTTTTTCCTAAGTTGATTCGCTTTGCCAATGCCGTTAACTGGGGAATAAAGTAATATTGCTACAAGCCTACAACGTGTGGACTAACTAATTTGGTTTCAGACTTTCAGGATTTTTAGATGTACCATAGCATTGATAAATGGCTTTAAAATTATATTTTATTCTTATAATGCATTACTTTATTTTGATTTTTGAATAGTAAGAATGATGGGATTATAAGACAACATAATTGGTCCAATGACTCAAATAGTAAACTCATAAAACTAAGTATACTTAATTGTTGAATTTACCAGAAGTGGTCGAGATAATAGACCTGTGGTTGCATCCACTCACCTTGAATTGGATTGAGCAGATTTACCTATGCCTTACTAGTTGATGAGATAGATCACCATAAGGGCTGTCATTGCACTATCGCCTATCTCCACCACTAAAGTATACCATGTCAAGCCCACTTGTTATAAGCGATCATAACACTGACGCAAAGTTACCATTAAAGTGTACCATGTCAAACCCACTTATTATAAATAGCAATATAGCATCAAATGACAAGGTCTCTAGGACCAGAACTACAAGCATGAGGTTTATCATGAGAGACTCATAAGGGAGATTTGTAGCAGCTAAAGAGGAGAGATGAATTATACCGACCAAAGCGCTGAAGCAGTTTCTGTTAGAGAAACATTGAAGTGGCTGAAGAAATTGGAGGTAGACTCTATCCAAGTCGAATCGAATGCTTTATTGGTTATTCAAGAACTCAAAAATTTAATTGTGACTCCTCTTTTTGATTTAGTCTTTTGAGGACATTAGGAAATTAGCTATGGACTTCTCTGTATTAGCTTTATGTTTGTTAAACGATCTGCGAACATGACGGTCCACTAAATTGCTCGGGAAGTCATGTTCTCCGCTAATTGTCAAGAGTGAATTTCCTACCCTCCCGATTTTCTTTCTAATGTAATTTCCTTGGAAGCTAATTAATGAGTTGTTGTTTGGATTTCAAAAAAAAATAAAAAAAATAGCATCCTTTGGCATTCATTCAAATTCATCTCCTACTACATACTACTATATGTATTCACATTTGTATCATAAATTGATCGAACTATTATACCTTTTAATTATCCTCAATTTATGCAAAGCAATATATTCTCATCCCTAATCTCTAACTTCGTAGTTTAACTCTAAATCCTTTCCATTCTAAAAAAAAAAAAAAAACTATAAATCCTCTCATACAATATATTTTAAACTTTAATCGAATGGAAATCAACGCAAATACAATTATGGACCATCCTAAATTTCCTAATCCAAAAATTCTGATTTGACCCACAAATTGACTGGTCCGTATTATAATTTTGGATATGTGGGTCAACCCGATTTTCACAAATCACCATAGGCTGAAAAGGGCAGTTGGTGTAATTACCTGTAACTAAGGATCCATTTTCGACCAAAATCCCTTTCACGTTAATATTTTAGAACGCGCCGATTCACATATCGGCTAACCCTAGCTTTACCCTTTTTCTTCGTCAACATCCCAAATTTCCCCCTTTTTTTAACCCGTTTTTTCTCTTTCGATTCGAGATTGATTTCTTCTATCCATCATCAAATTTCCATTCCATTTTTTCAATTCTCTTTATTCTCTTTCGATCTATATCTTTCTCGCCTCTGGTCGTTGAGATCTTCGATTTTGAGGTTAGGGTTTCAGATATCATCTTTTTCAACCAGATCTGTTTAATTCGGTTCTCGTTTTTGTATATACCGTAAATTTACTGCCTGGGATCATCTTTTTTGTTGTTTTTAAGAAGAGAAAAGATTCGATTTTTTTCCGGTGAAATTTATTTTGGGAATTTGGGGATTTTCATTTCAATCGCTGTATTTTACCAGGAATTCATCAGATCTATTAAATTAAGTTCGATTGCATTTTAAAATTTTTTGTTTTTTGATTTTAATTTTTGATTTCAAAATTGGGGATCTAGGGTTAGGTTTTTTTTTGTGAATCTATTTTTCGGAGAAAAAAAATTTATTTTTAATTAATTTTTCTTAGGTTAATCCATTGAGATTAGCTCTGATTGAAAGATCTGCTCTTCAATTTGAAGAAGACACCTCCAATTTGAGGTATCCGATTTTATTTTTTATTTTTTATTTTTTATTTTTTATTATTATTTCTGATCATTTGGCGTATTAAACTGAATCTTTAATCATCTTCCTATTTTTTTTGTAAATTCGGGAAGCATATAGTTTGTTATATTCACATATTTCTAAGATAAAGCTAATTACAGTGGCTCATCTGTAGTAAACTTCCAGTCAATGAAATAAAACTGTTTTATGGACCATTTTTAATTGAAATACTTCACTCTGTTTCAGTTTTCTGGACCCACCTGTCTTCAATCAAGTATTAGTTTGTCTTTTCTGAAGATGGAAAGTAAAAATATACTCAAAGACATTTATCCCAATGCTTAAAAACTCTAGTCTAGTATGTACTCTAATAAATTTGGAGCTGATGCTAACTTCAAATATTCTTTTCCCTTGTCTTTTGAGCTTAGTTGGAATCCGCAAGCTTAGCTACTAATGTACAATTGAACTTAGTTATGGAATTTTCTGTTGGTAGCATGCACTGTGTAGTCTTTAGCATAAAGTCAATGAATGATGTGATGGGAGGTGAATGTCAGCATTGTATTACCATTAGCATATTGATCCTATGAACCACATATCAATTACTTTCTTGTTAGTCTTTTAGCATTGGAAAGACAGTGAATTATGTTACAAGGTTTTTTTTTTTTTTTTTCCCTTTCTTGTGCCCTTTAAGCTCCCTGCACTTTGTTCTGTTGCTTAAACCCCTGTTTAAATTTCCCTTTGCAGATAATCATGGTGCAAAAACGGCCATTTGACCAGGAGTTGCAGGAGCTTTCATCCAAGCAACCTAGGCATGTAGAGCCTAGTGATCAGCTAGCTTCTTTGGGGGTTTCTCAGGAACCAATCGCTTTGAAGTCTCACTCATCAGGTGAATGAAGGATTCTTTAACTTCTATAAGAAATTCAATCTAATGTTTTGTTGATTGAATAGGTCTAAGGTACTATTCTCTAATGTTCTTTAGTTGCTAGAAGCCTAGAAATGTTGATAACATGAACAGTTCCTTATTGCATTCTTGTATGATTTTTACTAAATATGGGTGCTAATATTTGGTAGGTGAAGGTGAGGACACTCCATTGAAAAGCCAATTCACAAGTGAGGAGAAATTTGATAGTGCATGTGCTACTGATGTTCGTAGCTCTGAGAGAGACATAGAGCCAGGCATTCCTGGTTCTGCTTCGAATTCGTCCTGGGCTACTAGCAGCACTAGTGAAGAAGATGTTAAGTCAGAGGGTCCTTATCACATTTTAGTGTCTCCTGAGCATTACAATCTTGACGTTCCATATAGGAATGTTTCTCGCTCAAAACTGATATATTCTTCTCTTATGAGAAGTCCGCCTCGAAAGTTGGTTCCTATCGGTCCTGATTACCAGGCAGATTTACCAGATTTTGTTGGACATGAGAAGAAGAAAACCTGTTATTCAGAGGAAACATGTAAAGCAGATATTACTTCCCAAGCTTTGGAGTCGGATAGCAATGGCCATCTTAATGATGATGATAGACTTGCTGGGACCTGTATCATTCCCATGCCCAAATTGGAATCTGCTGGATACAATGATGAGAGTGTTGGAACTGGGAGTGGAAGTGGTGATTGTCTTTGTGAAGATGCAGGTTCCATTAGATGCTCTCGACAGCATGTTTTTGAAGCAAGAGAAAAACTTAAAACAGTACTTGGGGAGGAGACTTTTGTCAAGCTGGGTTTTTATGATATCGGTGAGGTAGTGGCATTAAGGTGGAGTGAAGAAGAACAGGAATTGTTTCATGACATTGTCTTTTCAAACCCTGCATCATTGGGTAAGAACTTCTGGAACCATCTCTCCGCTGAGTTTCCTTCTCGGACTATGAAGCAAATAGTGAGTTACTACTTTAATGTCTTCATGTTGAGAAGGCGAGCCGAGCAGAATAGGTTTGACCCCTTGAATGTTGATAGTGACAATGATGAATGGCATGCACCTGAGGAGTCTTCTGGTGATGAAGCTAAAATGACTGACGAAGATGAAGACTCGGTTGTTGAATCACCTGTTTATCTTGATGATTATGGCCGCAATGAGATCTACAGGGCGTATGATGATGTCGGGCTCCCTATCTGGGAAGAATACAGGGATATTAGCAATGAGACAAATAAGGCTGTCAATTATGAATCAGTAAAATGCGCTGATAATGTATTTGGGAAGTGCAGTTCTGAACCAACAGCAAGGAACGAGGACAGAGATTTTCCAAACGGTTTGGGAGATGAAAATGGCAATTGTACTAGCGTTACTCCAAAAGCACCACATGTGAAGTCTGATATTGGCAAAGATTGGTCACGAAGTTTTGTGGGTATGGGCAGTGACAATGGTCATGATTTTGTGTTGGAGCCCTGTAGTGGCAAGGAATGGGATGTCGGGTTCTTTAGCTGCCCTAAAAGCAAAGTCGATTTGTTGCCTACTTGCACTATGATTGAAGAAGTATTTGGGGACAAGGACTGGAATTACTCGAGTAGAGGAGGAGATGGCCATGGCTCAAGCTAGTTTTTCAATCTTGATTCCTGCAAAGCCAAATCGAAATCGACCTGGAGGTTACGTTTTTTTTGTCTAGGTTAGTTTCCAATTTGCCACATCCAAAGTGGTGGAATATGGATTTTGTTTATCCTGGATGTAAGATATGATATGATGTTCTCCAAGATGGGCATGAACATTTTTCAAGTTGTATACTAGCCATCTGTTTTGCTCCTCCGTAAACACGTACTAGGTTGTCTGTTTGCTGTAGGGAGTTGAAGGTGGTAGGATCATCCTCCTAGGTTTTTATATATGTATATACATAAAAGCAATGTGACTCAATTGAGCATTATCGCCACAAAACATGAAAAAAAAAAAAAAAACGAAAAGTTCAAAGAATTTTCAATCTATGTTCTTTTTGTTTCTTCTGTATACTCATCAATTTCTGTTCTCTTTTGCCTAATCTTTAACTTGTAACTCAGCTTCTGTGACTATGCAATAGATATTTTCAATAAAAATTGAATAAAAAAATATGTATGATCTTCCCCATCACAAGAAATACCCACAGTATCATCTTTGATGAACCAACACATAACATATATTAATATAATATATATATTATTTCTTTCTAACCAATTCAAACCAACTTGTGCACCAATTTACTAGCCACCACCACCCACATGCCACATACTAAGCATGGGGATCTTTTTGGCTAACTAAAAGGGCCCACACCCAGGCCTGACAGAGTATCTGGCGCAAATTATGCCATGGAATCGTGTTCACCGAGAATGGTGAACACAAGGCAAAACGACGTCGTTTTCAGGCAAAAAAAAAAAATTTTGCGGATGTGGAGTTAACGGCGTGCGTTTGATCAAATTATGAATTTTCTGTTATGAGATTATGAATTTTATGAAAATTCATAATCTCATAACAGAAAATTCATAATCGCATAACAGAAAATTCATAATCTCATAACAGAAAATTCATAATCTTATAACAGAAAATTCATAATCTCATGGTTCCAAAGTGAATGTGTACGCATGGTTCCAAAGTGAATGTGCAGGCATGGATTCATAATTTATGAATGTCCGTGATTTCGGACGGGAATATGTAGGCATGGTTCCAAAGTGAATGTGCAGGCATGAATTCATAATTTATGAATGTCCGAAATTATGAATGTAATGAAAATTCATAATCTCATAACAGAAAATTCATAATCGCATAACAGAAAATTCATAATCTCATAACTGAAAATTCATAATCTCATAACAGAAAATTCATAATCTTATAACAGAAAATTCATAATCTCATGGTTCCAAAGTGAATGTGTAGACATGGTTCCAAAGTGAATGTGCAGGCATGGATTCATAATTTATGAATGTCCGTGATTTCGGACGGGAATGTGTAGGCATGGTTCCAAAGTGAATGTGCAGGCATGAATTCATAATTTATGAATGTCCGAAATCTTTGTTCACCTCAAATTAAAGTGAAACCGCAAAATGTGAAAATAAAGAAGAAAAGTCACGCAATTAATTAAGAAAAAAAAAAGATAACGGTGTACTAACACCGTTGGAACCGTGTTCACCATTCATGGTGAACACGGTTCCATGGCATAACGTCTGAGTATCTGGAAAGATGTAAATCATGATAACTCAGCTGAACACAGAGACTATGCACAAGGAAATGATCAGACTGTTAGTATTTGGTGAATAGGGTTCGAATAAATCTAATAGAATTGTTTCTGAATGAGATCCAGATACATTTTTAATAGAGGAGTTGTTTCTGAATGAGATCCAATTTATTTTCTTCATGCAATTTTTTTTTTTAAAGGGTACTAAATTAATAAACTTGGAGTGATCCATCCAATACCCAAAAGACCTGGTGAGGAAGGCCCCACACCCATCTGGAATTTCTTTTTAAAAAAATTTTTATAATGATTTTCTTTAGGTATTTTTGGTGACCTTGATTTCATTGACTCTTTTTGAGTATTCCCTAAGCATGGCCGGTGAACACATGCAGCATTATAACTGTATATAAAGTAACAGTGCAGTAGGCAGGCAGGCAGGCACCCTTCATGATCAGTCTTTGCATAAAAACAGGGTGGATCTTTTCTACTTTCTTCCCATATATTATGCTAATCAAATGGGCACATCTCCTACTTGGATATAAGGTTGCTTCAGATTTGGTCTTTCCTCTTACAAAACATACTAGACACGATGTGTATGCGAAAAATTACGTAATCTGTCCAAAAGGAATGATCAAGTGAGTGGAACATGATTCTTCTATCTCGATAGTCACGAGTTTGACTCTTGACAACACCCTTTCGGTGGATTGGAGCATGTTGCACTATGGTCTGTTTGGTAAATGGTTGTTAGTTGATAGCTGATAGCTAATAGCCGATTGTGTTAATTAGAGGGTATAACTAGTTGATAATGTTAACCAATTGTAAAAAAAATGTTTGGTAAATTAGCTGTTAGCTGTTTGATAATTTCCTTTCTCAAAAAGTTAATTGAAAAAGCTACTTTGAGCATTTTGTTGATGTGATTTACTTCTCTGGTGTGGTTTGTTATATAGGAGTAGGGGTGGAGTCTTCTAAGGTAATCTAAATTAATATGGATTCCAACACGAATAAGGAGCTCCTAACCACCAAGACAAAATAGTAATCACATTGATTACAATTTTGAGGTTCTAATTATAAATAATAAATGGATCTTTACTTATGTTCTAATTCTGCAATCATATATGTTTGCTGTTAGATAGATGCAGCCCAAAGTGGACTAATCATGCAATGAGTCACTCAAAGTATACAAATTTAGGTCATGGAGTCTCTATGAGATGGTGTGGATCTTTTTTAACTTAATTCGAGATTTCAGATTTAAATTTAACCTCAAAGATGTATCTGTCTTAAAACTCATGAGAGAATGTTTTGTCACTTGATTGGGTTATAGTGTACTTTAGTCGAGAAAATATACGGTCGAGCAAAAAAAGAAGTATACAAATTTACTCATTCAATAATATTATTTTCATCATATAGATTTATAATATAAAGAGAGAATGGGTTTGTACTGTGATAACAAAAGAGAGAATCATCTTTTATGTGACAAAAAAAAAAAGGACAAAATAAAGAAGCAAGAAAAATGCTATACTTCAACTGGTAATGGACTTAAATAAAGATAGAATAATACTCTGTATCATTATACAAGATTAACTAGCGATATTTATTCAATGCACACCATTAGATAATATAATGACTGTGAAATTTTCTCATTACTCAAAATAATACAATTAAGAAGTAATTAAAAAAGGATCATTTTCATCTTAATTACTATTAATAATGTACAGGGAGCCAATTGTAGCTTTAATTAGTTGGATGAACTGGAGTCTATTATCATGTCAAGAAATAATGGTATATTTGAAGGCATAAGGTCAAATTTATGACATATTAACTTATATTAAAAGTTAGTGTCACTCGATCACAAGATTTTACACAGATAAATAACATTGAAAATGAATGCATCATGAGTAGGAATTTTGTTTGCGGCAGTGTATACCTCAATCAATTGGGTAATTAATATAAAGATAATTAATAGTTATGTGTATTACTAGTGTATAAGTACTTTAAAAAATTTAGATTATTATTGAGACATATCATGTAATTTATTTATGTATTTTAAGATAGGCGAGTGCCTTAATTTTGGAATTAGGGTGTATCACAAAATGCTAAACTTTTTGGTCAAATTATTCTAAATACACGATCAATCATGGGATATGAACTTGATACCAATTGTTTTGTATGACACCTTAGCTTAAAAGAGTGGTTGACCAACTCTCTCACCAAAACACCAACAATTTATCCTCAAACTTTTAGCCTTTTGGAATTAATTTACAATTAAAATGCTAAACTAGTTTAGCTACACTAATCAATATGGCGTAAATTAATTTATTTTTGGTATTATTTTGGGTGACGAGAGAAGCGTAGCCACTAGCCATTATCTAATGGTGTGTACTGCATAAACTATGTTTCTGCGTACACATACTCAATCGTCTCATTATATAAATACAACAAATCGAACAATAAACATCTTACATACTAACCATTACAAGTTTAAAATTTTAAATTTTTATTTGAACTCACTCTCTTAGTCGAGTTAACCACAATTATCTTTTCACGAATTATGCAAGAGTGCAATGTGACATTGACTAGAAAACCATAGAATGCAACAACACTTAGTGGAATAATAGCACCATACAAAGTTGGACTTGATAATGCATATGATTTACTGCTTCTTTTTTGATGCATTGGATATACACATTATATTAATCATTATTGGAATTTGGGTACGTTGAATGTGCGACGGATTAACGTTAACACATCACGTTAGTATAATTAACTTTAAATAAACATCTGTTTAGTGTCGTGTCGCAGTTTCATCAAAAACATCTTCTTTTTGAAATCTTAATTAATTAATTAATTAACAATTAGCACTTTTTAATTTTAATGACTAAATTAAATCATGCAAAAAGCTAAGGTAGAGTCATTTTCAGTGACAGTAAATTGACTAAATTCCTAGTTATAGGCCAGGCTTGTTCGTTCATCTTTGGACTTCTTGACAACCACCACAAAAGTCCCACATATTCATCACTGCCACAATCTCTTTGACACACTTTCAAGCTTTTTTCTTATACACACACACACACACTAACATGACATTGTACTATCAAATTAAAAAAAAAATCATATATTTGTTATTTGTACATATTAAGTAAATGGTATATATGTACTCCGGCTCTATGACAAATTAAAATCAAAGTGTACTGTTAACTTTTGAATTGTTCCAGTCTTTTTTGAAAATTAAGTTTTTGTCTGTTAATTTGAGCAAATTTAGTCCAGTTTCTTGATTGTTTAAAGTGTTGCACATTTAGTTCCTTAATTATATAACACCAGCGATTGAATGTGTAACATTATAGACAATTTAAGAATTATATTTACTTAAATTATCGAATAGGGACTAAATCTCCAAAGGAATACAATTCGAAGGTCAAAAATATAATTTTTCTTTAATTCTAAATTTACACATATTTATTTATTTTTGTTTGTTTGAATACAAATTTTTTCGACCAGTCAATTAGGATCACACACAGAGAGTATGTTATTCGTGTAGAGAAATTTTAAAGAATGACAATGCAACATCTAGTTAATTTGGAAAAGACGCACATCATTTCATTTGTAAAAGATTCCTTAGCCAATCAAAAGACATTTTAATTTGGTTTCCAATTAATCAATTATATATAGTTCATGCATGCATAAGATGATGATAATATCACAAGCCAAAGTAGATTAATTAGGCACAGAATAATGTGCATGCACATGTGATTACTAATAAAATATGGTTATGCTAATTAATAAGGGGAATAGAAATTAAAGGATTTTTTTTAAAAGAAAATATTTAATTTTGCTGTTTCCTAGCTAGCAGTAGCTTCCAAGTAGACAACTTACAGCTAAACCTTGCACTAAGATGCCGGCAAACATGGGAATTTTTATTTATTTTTTGCGACGAAAAACCCACAATCACTAATTGAAATGCGTATTAAGTAAATTATGCTTCTATTTAATAATTTACAAATCATGAGAGATAAATTGCACTAGAAAGACCCTGTGTAACAGACTTGATTGAGAGTGTGTTGACAAAAAATATGAGAGGGAAATTGCACTAGGAAAACTCTATGAAATGGACTTAATTGATCGAGAAAGTACTGGTAAAAATTTGAACCCGTCATCTTCAAGTACGAGAATCATGCTTCACCCACCCACCACTTATGGGGGTTTTATTTTTTATTTTTTTGACACTCCAAAATTATATACTTGCTTAATTAATTGTAATTAATATTTATATTGGGTGGTTAATTATATGTTATATATATAGTTTTTAAAAGACAAGTTAATAGGACATCCACGTTGCGGTTAGTGCAAAGCGAGCAAGCCGGCATTTGAAGAGCAAGGCCGGCACTACTCTATGCCAAGTTGACACAAAAAAAGAATTTGCAGTACAGTCGATCATCAAATCCAAACAACATCTTGGGTGGTTGGTTGGGAGTACAATGTTTGATTAGTTGTGTCTTTTGTAATATTATTTCAGTAAATATAATTACAACCGAAAATCATATTATCTTTTTTTCTTTTTCCCTTAATATAACAAACAAATTAAAAAAAATCAAGCAGATCAAACTCAACTATATGATTCTAAACTATGTTGCACGGAAATTCCATGAGGGTAGCATTTCCCTATTTCTCGTTTCCTGTTTCTATATATACTCTAAATCAAGATACCTTAATTGCATATAATCTGTGTCTATCGTAAGCAACGGGTCGATCTCTTCGGGTGGGGACCGCATTAAGAATCCGCAAATTGAGAGTGCTCGTGTATGCCTTACCAATTTGCGGATTTCTTGTGAAGACACGCTATCTTTTTGATATTGTAAAATTTTATATAGGGTATAGATTTTATTAGTAATTGGGTGAAAAAAAAGATATGAGAAAAAGGAAAGAGTATAACGGCCAGAGGGTGGAACCTTCCTTTTTGATGAATAACAAGACAAAGTAAAGAATAGTGTATTTATCAAAGAGCAGTTAAGCAAAGTCTTTGAGGTAGAGGCCAAACATCCTCAAAATGGCGGGCGAATCTCAGCCGTTGGATCCGGTAGGCGTAGGGCTCTGAGTTGAGTACACGTACTACTTCCAACTTCCCTTTTACCTCTCTTTCTTTCTTCTTATCTTTGCTTCCATGCATGGATTTCTCCCCCAAAATAGTGTGCCATAGAGAGAGAAAGTAAAACCAGCCAGCAAGAGAGAGAAAAAGAGAAGTAAACACCTCTTTTAAAGTTGAGCTATTTCTTCAAGTTTCAACTACCCTTCTGCTACTACATACTAAACCAGTGTTCTTGAACAAACAGCACAGCAGTGCTGTTAGATCTTGCTCTTAAAGTGAATGAAATTAATAGTTTTTTTTCTTCTTTGATCTATTCAAGATTCAGATTTGAGGCTTTGGGGCATCTGATCTCATCATCCAATTCGGGTTTCGATCGAATTCGAGTCAATGGAACAACAACAAGGGGATCAAGAAATGTTGCAGCAGAAGCACTTCTGCAAGCTCTGCAGCAGGAGTTTCCCCTGCGGTAGATCCCTGGGGGGGCACATGAGGTCTCACTTGATCGGGAATTCATCGGAAAACGCCGAGAGGAGCAGGAACTCGGGCTCGGGGATCGACACTAGCTATGTCCTGAGGGAGAATCCCAGGAAGACCTGCAAGTTTTCTGCAGAGTTTAATGGTGGTGGTGGGGAAGATGCTTTGCTTCAGAGCCTTGATAAGGTGTGCAAGGAATGTGGGAAAGGTTTTCAATCTTGGAAAGCTTTGTTCGGGCACATGAAGTGCCATTCGGAGAAAATAATGATGATCTCGACGAACAACAACAAAAGAAGCAAGATGGAGGAAGCTGCTGATTCTTGGAATGTTGTTGCAGATAATAATAATAATAGCCATTCTGATGACAATAATGCTCCAAACCGAAAGAAGAGATCGAGGAGAGCTTCAGCTAATACCAAAAGGTACCAGGTTGTTAATGCTGCTACAACTAATTCCTCTACCTTAACTGCTGCTAATAGTGCTTCCCCCTGTGTTTCTGAGAATGAACATGAAGAGGTTGCCATGAGTTTGATCATGCTTTCTAGGGATGTGGGTAGTTGGGGTGGTTTAGCTTCTGTAACTGAGTGCTCTGATAACAATTCTGAGTTTCTGGGAATTCGATCTTCGGGTAATTCTGAGATTAAGGCCAAGAAAGTGAAAGCTGATGAGAAACTGAAGAAACCAAAGTCCAGAGGCTCTGGGATTCCTATAAGTGGAGGCAATAAGATGAAGGTGTCTGAAGCTGACAGAGCAGGATTCGAGAAATCCGAGGTTGATGTTCCTAGTAATGCTCAAAATGAGGTCTGGTTTAGCTCCCTTGACTCTGAGAAGAAGATCAGATTTGAGTGTTCTACTTGCAACAAGAGTTTCCACTCTTACCAAGCTCTTGGTGGCCACAGAGCTAGCCACAAGAAGGCGAAAGACGGGTCTGACAAGAACACTGACCATTATTCTGGAGCTCAAAACCAGACAACTGCAGACAGCAGTGAACACAGCATCCTAGGATTTGCAGACAAGGTTGAGAGTTCATCAAAGAAGATTAAGGTGGCTCATCATGAGTGCCCAATTTGTTTCAAGATTTTCCCATCAGGCCAAGCATTGGGAGGCCACAAGAGATCCCATTTGATTGCTGAGGCTAAAGCCAATCAACAGCCCACTCAAATAATGCAGAAACCTTCAGTCCCAGAAACCAGAGATTTTCTTGATCTCAATTTGCCTGCTCCAATTGAAGAAGAAGAAGAAGAAGATAAAGAAAGCCATCAGAGCTCTGGGTTCCAAGCATGGTGGATGGTGGGGAGCAGCTATAACCATGATCATCTTATGCAGCCTACTTTCTGAGTTATCATCATCCTCATTCATCTGCTATTATAAAGGTTCACAGAAGTGTACAGATTCATTCTTTCTGCTTCAAAGCAGTGACAATTCCATTTGCCAAAGGGGAACTCTATCCTACAAGGACACTGGGCACCCATTAAAGAGAAATTAAGCCACCCCCTTTGGAGCACTCTTCACAGTGAAAATTTTCCCACATTCCAATTCCCAGAAGATGTGTAATTTTCTTGCTTTTCTTTCCCAATTTTTTTGCTGTAATTTAGGCACACTTGAAAGCTTCAGCTTGAGCTTCAACTTTCTTTTTACTATACTGTTGTATGGTGTAATTGTTTTATCTTGGCAGTAAAGGGAAATGATGAGGTGTTGAAGATGGACAGTGAGTGAAGTCAGAAAGATCAGATATGAAGTCCTTTTTTTTTTGGGAGGTTTTATAATATTGTAAAAAAGAGATTGCCAGTGAGCTCAAAGGTGGTTGTTTAGTCACCTACCATAAAAACATGACAACACATCTCATATCCCTTCTTAATCACTTTGCTAGTGCTCTTCTATTGTCTTGCCATTACTTAAGAGTACATACTAGATAAATTTTACTTCTGCATAACACTTTACAGAGCACAAAAAAAAAAAAATTGTACTAAAAAGACCATGTACAAAAAACTTCACATGAAAATGTTAGCAAGAATCGAACTCGTAATATTATAGATGATCATTGAAATAAGGAGATTTCGTACCCAAACAATGCATTTTGGAGAGGGTTGGTGTTGCTATCAACAATAGAGCTGCCAAAATAGTTATCCCTTGGGTGGGCTCGTGGACCATTCTGGCAAACGTTGTAGCTGTAACTGTTTTTGTGTAATAGTCTACAAATTAATTGTACCAAAAGACATATTTAATTAAGAGGTGTTTACAATTCAGCGAGGTGATTAGTCATTGTGTCTGACGATAAAACCCTGGGTATCCCAAAAAAAAATCATGATCTTTTGTTATTAGAATTAAGTTTCGCAACCAATGACTTTTGTGATCTAGTGACACGAAGTAACTCTTCCATATAAATTATGACTTCGAGCCTCAATGAGAGCGGTAATAGAGCTAGAGACGGGATGGAATGCATCAAAATTTAACCCGCAAGACATCTCGTAATAGTTCGGGCCGGGTCAACATATATGTTCTGGATCCACTTTCAAGCTTTAAATTGGCATCCATTTCTGTTCACAGTTTGACCTCCTTCTTTGACCTTGCCAGAGAGAGCGAGGAGGGAGAGAAATTGACAGGCGAAACCCTAGCAAAAGGTATGCTCTGTACATTAAGGCTTATTTGATTGTTGTAAATTTTGAGCTGTGTCTTTGAATTTGGGGTTCCTGTAAAGAGTCATACTTGAACATGGATGATTTATCTTTTTATGTGGATGTTCAGTTTCATGTGTTCGGCTATTGTAAGAAACAAATGGCGTGTTTCTATTCTGAGAATGATGCTCGTATGTTATATGTGTGTATTAATGTATGCATCTCTCTTTATTTTGGATTGTGTTTAGATGTCTGATCAATCAAATAGGAATGGTGACTGCACCTTTGACGTAAAGGAATTATTGGAGATAAGGACAAGATGCACAGAGGTATTTTAGGGGCAAGGTTTACATATGGTGGTTTGCATGTGGTTATGATGCCACTGCACAATCTGGATTAGTTTGGATAGCTATGGTTCTAGTTGATGTACTAATGGACTTTGAAAATGATTTATCATGCAGTTAAGGAAGGAAAAAGATATGTTGAGAGACTCACAAACACAGAGCTTTGAACTTATCAGAGTAATTTCTTATTATCTTGGTTGTTTTCTGGAATTGATGAACAATCAGATAGAGCTGATGATTGGTTATCTGTAGATGTGCTAAAGATTAAGAACATTAGTTAAATCATATGGTGTGTAACCATAGGGTTAGTTGGTGTACTGTTAATAATCACAATCACTAGGAAGTGTGAGCTATCTCTTTATAACCAGCTTCTTATGTTAATTGGTAATTGGAGTTATGCTCTTTGTAATGGATTTAAATTGTTCAAATGAACATAAACTCAAGGAAATTATATTTTTGAAGTAAATATCTCATGTGAAAATGCTTTCTTTGCAGAAAGTAGAAGAGCATGTACAAACATTATCTGGTGTTCACTCAGAAGACAAACAACGCATCCAAGAGTTGGAAAGGGAGTTGGATAACTGCTCACAAGAAATAGGTATTGACCCCAATTGCTCTTATTTTTGTTTGACTAGCATTACTTGTGGGCACTAAAAATAAACCAAGAATTTACTGTCATTTCCTAAACTTTGTACCAAAGACGGCTCAAAATGCATGAATGGTTGCCCTTGTCTCTGTTTTCACCCTTTTTCCTGGGTACAGTAACTTTGTTATTTTTAGTTGCAAAACCATTCCCTAACAGAAATTCCTATAGCTGACATCACTGCACTTGATATGCCATCATCATTGAGGATGAACACCTTGTTATTGCAAATTTGATATTTTGATGGGGCAAGCATTTATTGTTTTTGCATGAAGCTGGACTATTCCTTTTCATGCAAAGATATAATCCTCTATGATCCCCTTTCCATTAGCTTGAGATCATCATCACTGACAACACACTTGCAATAGATTACCTGCAGGATCAGCTTACGTTAAGGAACTCAGAATTGAATATGCTTTGTGAGGAAGTCTGCACCCTTAAGTTGAAACTTGAAGACATGGAAATTTTAGAGGAAGAGACTGGAAGGTTAAAGGAGGAACTAGAGATTTCCCATGCTGATCGTTTGATTTTGCTGCAGAAATTGGAAAACAAGGAGTTGGAGCTTCAGAGTTCAACTTTGTTAATAGAGAAACTAGAGGAGTCAATTTGGTCCATGGGGTTGGAATATCAATGTGAAATTGAGAGCCTGAAACTTGATCTCACAGCATTGGAGCAAAATTGTTTTGAATCTAAAAAATCTCAAGAGAAAACGGCTCAAGAAAATGCTAGGATGAATGCGTTGTTTCATGATCTTGAGCTTCGGTTCCAGGATGCGGAGAACTTTATTGAAAATTTAGAGAAGGAGAATGGAAATCTAAGGGAGCAACTGCAAATCTATGAAAAGAATGCCAAAGTATTTTGCCAAAATGTAGAAGAGCAATTTCCCCAACTGCTAGTTACTGGGAATGAAGAGGCTCTAGAGAATAATGCTAGGTATGTTATCAACCTGCGTGTGCATATAATAAAGCCATTCTGGATATCTGTCTGCCTTTATCTTCTGAAAATTGGTGTTGGGGATGTATAGATATGACTCAATTATTTTCTTCTCTATCTCTCTAAAGCTCATGTGGAGATATTTTGGGTCCTCTCTTTACCAAACTCGCTATTCTAGGGGCATCCGATGTCCATTTTAAGGATAGGACAGATAAAATGTCTCATCAAATACAGAAATATGAATCTCTTGTGGAGAAGCTTAAGGTATGTTGGTATCAACTCTAGGTTTATGTCTTCTCCTCAAGAGATCTAATTGTTTAGTGCATCAATGCTTTCTGGTTGACTTAACTGGGATTGGATTTTGAAACAATTCAGATTAACTTCTGAGTTAAAATGGTGGTTAGGAGGAGCTGAAATTGGAAAGGTTAAAGGCAAAAGAAGAAGCAGAGGATTTAGCTCAGGAAATGGCCGAGCTAAGATACCAAATGACTGGGTTGCTTGAAGAAGAGCGCAAACGCCGTGCATGCATTGAACAAGTATCTTTGCAGAGAATAGCAAAGTTGGAGGCTCAGGTATGAATATTAGATTCTAACCCAAAGTGCTGATTAAGATAAATACGAGGTTCCTTATACATTGTTTTTGGTTATGAAGCTTGAAAAAGAACGGAAGAAATCCTTTGTCAATGAAGAACAAAGTAAAGCTATCACCACTCTCAATGTCACTGAAGAGTAGAACATGCAGGAAAAAGGTGGAATATATTTCAGGTTTGCTCATCTGAACTTGCTCCTTAATGTTCCTATAATGAACTAAATCTCTATAGTCCACACTTTTACTGTCTGTAACTAATAATATTGTATTTCACATTTTTCAACCGTAATTGTACCCTTCATGACTTAGAAGTGACCAAGCAAGCTTGTACTTGTGTTGAGAACTGACTGGGTAGGCAAGAGGCTGTTGTTTCTCACTTACAAAGAGGGACTTCCATGAATGGAAGGTGCACGAGTTCCTTGCTCTAGCCATCACCGCATCCGGGTAAAGGAGCGAGCTTGCATTAAAGTATAATGGGGTTTTCATGGTAATTGTGAAAGCGTTTTATGAAGTCAGTAGGTAGTAGGGGAGTCCATATTTGTACACTTTGTGTAGAGAGTGAAGGAATGGTTTAGATTTCAATTTTAGGCAGATATTCATTTCAACAGGAGGATGTATGGCTCACTTTAGTTTGAATGAAAAATAAGATTTTCATGTCTCAACAATCTGTAAGTTTTTTTGGTGTAAACCACACATTGTGGTCCGGGTCTTTCTCTGTCCGTTTAACGGTCCAGGTCCACCCGGTTCGTTCCGTGAGGCACAGAAGCTGGCCCAAAGGGAATCGTCACTTGTGAGAATCGAACCCGGGTTATCCCAAAATTCTCCCTTACAAAGAGAGCTCATTTGCCACTTGAGCTACCCTGTTGGGTTTCACAATTTGTAAGTTGCTTTGTTTAGTTGGAGATTTTTTATTTTTTTTAAATTTTTGGGCGACAAAGGAAATCAGAAATCTGTTGTCATTATTCTAAATATTTTATTCTTCATTTTTTGACATTTGATTTTAGAGAAAATAATACCGGCTTTATGTTGAATTATGTGAAAATGTATTTTAGTACTAACTACAATCATGATAGAGTATTGTTAAAATAAGTGTGACAGTTATTCATATAATTTATAGCACTCCAAGGTAATGAGATATCATTTGACACCTTAAAATTTGTCATTAAATTTAATTAATTTATGATTATCATGAAATTTTAATTCTTTACTTCTTTTTTTTTTATTATTTTTTATTTTTTATAAGTTTCAACTTAATACTTAAAGCCCTTTATAGCTCCTACCTTCGATATTAGTGGAGGAGATAAATCGCAACAACTTATGTTTGCTAACAAAATAAAGTTGGGTTGAATCTCGAACCCTAAGGGGTCGTTTGGTTCACGGAATGTCAGATTACCTAGGGAATGTTAGATTGCTGGGAATGTTAGATTCCTGTGTTTGGTTAAAATTGGGGTATGTAATATAATCATGTGGTTTAGGGTTATCTTTATTCACACACTATAATATCCTTAACATATTTTCATATATTTTAATAAATTTAAAAATTAAAATAAATAAATAAGATAACGGTATCATATATAATTACATGATTTTAAAATATTAACTAAAATATTGAACTTGAAAAACAAAATTATTTTATATGCTAACCTAACATAATAAAAATAAAAAATATATAATTACAAAAATAATTATATATATGTGTGTGTGTGTGTGAGAGAGAAAGAGAGATAAACTAACATAACCAAGGTTATCTTACATAACCTTAGAAATTGAAGGGAATCACATTCCCTTCAAAATCTTATGTGGAGGGAATGTGACATTCCTGGGGAATGTTAGATTTCCTGAGATAATGTGAACCAAACATAGAAATGTGAGCTTTGGAATGTCACATTCCCTTGGTTATGTTATATAACTTGAACCAAACGCCCCCTAAGGGTTTTCACGCTCTTGACAAAGCATTGAGATGATGTAAATCATGGTAACTCAGTTGAACACAAAGATTAGATATTTGCTTATTGCGCATAAGGAGTCCTCTCAATTTGAGAAGTCATTTCCACACAGTCGGTCGCTGGTGAGACTCAATTCCTAGATTCCTGGATATTGTTTCTAAACTTCACTCTTATGAACTAGTTGAGTTGGTTGACTAGTTGAATTGGATATAGGGATAAATGGACAACTTTTGATCGCAAAATATAAGTGAAAAGACGGAACGACCCCCACTATGAATTTATTATGTACGTAATGGAAACGGTTGAGTTGTCGTTGAAAACGTCGTCTCCACGCGGTCCCCTTTTACTTATAGAACGCTCTCCCCATTTCTTCTAGAGACACTCTTTACCATGTTGTACTTCATCCTTTGAAACTTGTACGTAACATAATTATTAAATGAAAAATGAACAAAGAAGACCATAACCCAGTCAACCAACTCCATTGTATTCTTTCTTACCTCAACTCCTCCTAGGATATCGCCCATATAGACGTTTCCATCATCTTGAATTTTAGCATCCAAAGTCAGTCGTCTAGCTTTTCTCCCATTGTTGAGAGTGGAGGACTGGAGGCGTTAATCCATAGGTTTACTTCTTCGGATTCTCAGGTTATTATTCCCGCCATTGTTTCTTCCTTTTTCTCTTTCACGATCAATCTTTAACTGGGGTTTTCAATTCTTTTATGGGTTTATTAAAATTCAACGCCTTTTTTGGTTCTTGAATTTCATCTATCGGGGTGGATTTAAAGTTTGTCCGATGATCGTCGTGCTAATTTTTCTTTGTTAGTTTAGTCGATCAGATGAAGTTTGGAGCAGCACCCCATGTATTGTTTCTCTTCATCCCTGTTTGAAAATTTCAGTCTTTCTGACAGATTTGTAAGGGTTTAGAGGCAATCTTATTTAGATTATTGTGTTTTCCAAATTGGGTGTTGACTTATCTCCGGATGAGAAAACAGAAGGAATAGATGATAGAACCCGTTTTCTGTTTTCTTTTGCCCTTAAATTGAAATGAAGAATCGGAGGAAAGTTCAGTTTTTTGGTGTTATTTTTTTTTGAGTTCAGTGTTTTGGTGTTATTCATCTGATTGGTAATGGATTTGTTGTGTTGAGTTGGTATATCCATTTGACATTGAAGATACAGGCTTTACACTTTTGAGGTGTATTCTGTTCTTGTTATAACCGTAATGATGATATGTGTGTTTATCTGCTCTAGAACATGTTCTTCACTAGCTTGTTTTTGTTAATGATTGTTGCTATAAATTGCATATGCTTGATAGTTTGATCTTGTTTGTTTTTGCAGATATCTTCTTTGAGTACTAGTGACAGTCCAGTACTCCAATCTGATCCTGAATATATTGTAACTGAAAATGTTTGGTCATAAGAAGTCCCCTTTGCATGGGAATTCTAAGAGCCACTCCATCGTTCCTGGATCTAACTCGACTTCAAACCCTTTTGATTCTGACGATGAGTGTGATAAGAAGCAGAATGTTAAGCAATCGAGGACTTCTTCCGAGCCTACTCCTGTTACTCTGAATACTAGTACTAACCCCTTTGATGATGATGAAGCTAAAGGGAAATCATCGTCCTCGTCCTCATCCACATACTCCTTTACAACCGAGAGAAACAGGTACAAGAATGATTTCAGAGATTCGGGTGGGTTAGAGAATCAGTCTGTTCAAGAACTGGAGAACTATGCTGTCTACAAAGCCGAGGAGACTACAAACGCTGTTAATGGGTGTCTGAAGATTGCAGAAGACATGAGGGAGGATGCAACTAAGACTTTAGTCACTCTACATCATCAGGGCGAGCAAATTACTAGGACTCATATGACTGCAGCTGACATTGACCATGATCTTAGTCGGGTATGGCCTCTCAAGTCTCAACCTTTATGAGTGGTTTAGTCGGATATTCTGTTTAGTTAAACAAAATTATGTTTCTTGGAGTATTCTGTTATTTATACTACATGCTTTTGAGCATATAGCCATTAATGTGCAATCCAACTATTAGCTTAGGCTTTTAGTTGAGATGGAGCACATGCTTTAATTTGGTATTAGAGCCAGACTAAAGGTCATGGGTTCGAACGAATCTCAGCGCCACCCATAAGCGACTATCACACTGGTATTGCCTTGATTTTCATGACTTCTTTCACTATTGGAACAAACTTGTAATATTTGGTTTTAGGGTGAGAAACTTTTGGGAAGTCTCGGAGGCATATTTTCGAAGACATGGAAGCCTAAGAAGACTCGTCCAATTTCAGGCCCTGTTATTACAAGAGGTTAGTTAAATATTGGCCCTGTTTGGTAAAAAATTAGCCTATAGGCCACTTTTGGCTTATTTGACCACTATTAATTGTTTGATTTAGTTAAAATATCAATATAAATGTTTGGTTAATTAGCTTTTTGCAACTCCAAAATGCTAAAATTCAAAATGCTACTCCAAGCAACTTTTTCAATTAGCTTTTTAAGAAAAGAAATTACACCAAACAGCTATCAGCTAACAGCTAATTTACCAAACACTTTTCTACAATCAGCTAATGTTATCAACTATTTATACACTCTAATTAACAGAATCAGCTAACAGCTAACAGCCATTTTACCAAACAGGGCCTTTATGTTTACAAATAGGGCGGAAAGTGGTTGTTTTTCGGATGTAGAAATAGGTTATGGGAAGTATGCAGTTGAGTTTCCGCTTCTCTGACTATTTATAACGTTATTTGCAGATGACCCAGTTCAAAGGAGGGGTAACCATTTGGAGCAGAGGGAAAAATTGGGATTGAATTCTGCACCCAAGGGGCGGTCAAGCAGCCGAACTCCTCCTCCTGAACCAACTAATGCACTGCAGAAAGTCGAGGTATATGCCTTTGTAACCTAGAAAAAGTCTCGAAATTTGTTTCTTATTCTCTCTTTTCTTTCATTGCAAGTCAAATTCATCCTAGTAAACGTTAGATTTTTATATATATTCTCAAAAAGGCGGAGAAGGCAAAGCAAGACGATGGGCTATCAGATCTTAGTAATATCCTGGGGGAGCTCAAGGGCATGGCACTTGACATGGGCGCTGAAATTGAAAGGTAACCTGCACTTTTTCTTCCCGGCCTTATCTCTATATTCTTCATGTGTTATATGCGGGATCTTATGCTGAAGATGCAACTATATATTAGTGATTATTACTTCATCATTGATCAATGGTACCGGATATGAATGTTCAGGCAAAACCATGCTATGGATCATCTTCAGGATGACATTATAGAGCTCGATTCCAGAGTTAAAGGGGCTAACCAACGAGGCCGACGTTTGCTTGGAAAGTAGAGCCATTGTTCGTTCTGGGATCAAGATTTCAAATTACTAGATTTCCGGGTCGATAGATCATCTTCTTGTTCCACCATTGTTTGTACTGTGAACCAGCTCTTTCTACATTAACAGCATCAAAATGCCAACTTTAATTTGTTGAATCTATTATATTGTTGGTGTTGAATGTTTGCCACTTTTGCTATTTCATTTATCCAAACATTTTCTCTCATTCATCCCAAGGATTATTCTAATCCTTAACACCTTTAATCAAAGTCCTGGGCAGGTGAATTGAATTTGCAATAATATTCTCCTTTGAAATAATGTATTATTAATTTATTATCTATTGTTATTGCACATACAATGATACATGCATGTATGTATAGTTATACATACATAGATATAGATACATACTATATATACGTACGTGGAGGAGTATATGTATATGTGAGGAGATGCGCTTTTGTTGCAAAGGTGACTGGTCCGACAGCTGTGATTTTTGACTCCAAAGAGATAAGGAGCAAATCCCAAAAATAGATACAACAAAAAACAGAGAGAGAGAGAAGGAAAAGTGGCCCCCACAAACAGGAACAAATATTCTTAAAACATGGTTGTAGATTCCTTGGAAGGTTCGGTTATGTAGAGGGACAACTATAACATAACTTCACAGGAGAAACTAATTAAGCTGAATGTTGTTGGTTACAAACTGTATTTACAAACAAGAATAAGAATGTTGGCAACATTTAACTTGAATGTTTACAGACATCCTCAAACCATGAAGCCTTCATTCTCAAAACTGGGCAAGATTCTACCACTCTTCCCCACAAAACATCAAATTACTGTTTTTTTTTTTTTTTTTTACTGTACTGTTTATACAGAGAGAGAGAGAGAGAAAGACATCTAGTTAAAGTAGCAATGAAATGAGCTAAAGAGGAGAATGGTTAATGGATCGAGCAACACGAGCCATTTGGCGCCTTTTAGTCTTCCCCCAAACTGGCACTGTCATCTCCGACGCTTTGGGTTGTCTCCTCCCTCTCCCGCCACTGCCTCTACTAACGCTTCTCCTTGCAGAAGTGGCGGTTTCCACTGGCGCCTCGTTTACTTCTTTCTGAAAGTTGTTCACCTGCAATTTCATCTTTTTCTGTCCCCTCTTTAGCCGGCTAGGTAATGAGGCGTCGACTATTTCCATCTCTTTAGCATATGTCTGTTGATTATTCGCCAAAGAGGATGCGATTCCAGCAAACCAATCTAGGCAGTCATTAAAGGCTTCATTTTGGTCGATGAATGTGGTCTTTGATGACGAAAGAACAAACAACGTGTCTGCTGCAACCCTGTCCTCTTCCTCTTCTTGGATCTCGCCTTCTAGTTTCAATGAGCTAGTACATCTTTCGAGTTGGTTATCCTGAGAATCCCCTCTCGGTGGAGCGCACTCTTTGTTCTCGGGGCTAACGGGTGCTTCCAAATCTCTCTGTGTTGCAGCTTCAATCGTATCACTTTGCTCATGTGGCGATAGAACAAACTCTTTTTCGAGACCAGTTGAAAACTTGCTATCAACTCCAGTATCAATGAAACGGTTACCTCCATCGTATTCCTGTGAATCAACTGTAGGGTTAGGAGAGGAACTACTGTCAACGATCCCAGACTTTCCACTACAATCCATCTCCCTGTCTTCATGTTCGAGTGGAGCCGAACGTGATTTCTTGTGGGTATTGCCAGGAAAGTCATCATCGGATGAATAGTCAGCTGGAAACATATTCAAATCCACAACTTTTGGCAGATTTCCGCTATCTGAAACCTTAATTTTTGCAGTAGGACTGTGCCCAGAAGTGCGGTCACAATGATCAGCACCTTCTCCCTCGGGAATATCAGGCATCGCTTCATTATTCAGATCCTGGCCAGATTCATCGGGCTCTGCAGGTGCATTCAAGTCAAACAAGACGTGGGAAATGGAGGAAGAGAAAGAATCGAGTTTTGGATCAATGTGATGTTGTAATTTCAAGACAGGCATTTCAGGCACGTGAACAACGTTGTCCTCATCACTATCTTCGTACTCGCAAGCTGGAAGTTCAAGATCCAACATTCTCTTCCCAGACTTGTTGATTTGAGACGATGATAGTTCACATTCTTTTAACACATCCTTTGTTGGATACTGGTCGGGAGCCGATTTTAGAAAGTATGGTGGCTCTCGAGGCATCTGAGCACTTAGAGAAGACGGTTCAACGCCTGTGAGATTAGTAGAAGGACAGAAGGAGAAGTCGGAAACAAGATGTGGTTTTAAAGTGCGATTCAATATTTCTCTCTTCCTAATTTCCTCCATCAATTCCTTTTGCCTTCCATATAGGCGATGTAGCTCATAGACCTAAAATAGCAACAAATATCGTTTAGTTAAAATTTCCCCGGAAGTATTGGAACAGTAAATGACAAGTCAAGCACGAAAGAAGGAAACGACAAAAACTATACAGTATTCCAAAATAACGTAAGCATGACTTGTTGGCGATTGCTATGCAAACTTAAGAATAAGATTATGATTACTCAATGTCTTTCAATGATGTATAATAAAACTTTATTTAAGAAAAATCCAAATTTAAAGGATCTAAAGTCTACAACGGGGCTTACTTGATATTTGAATGTCGCTTCATGCTTGAGCATCATCTGCCTAAAAATTTCTTTCTGGTAACCTACATTATGGTCCATAGTAGACGGGGGCAACAAAACATTAAAATTTTGTCCACTGCTCCACGTGACATCACCCCGTGTTATTGGCCATGAATGGCCACTAAGACCCACATTAAGATATCTTGGGTAGTAATATCCCCCGGTTTGGCTTCTACACTGCATTATCTCCTTCCTTCCTGGAATGGACCAACAAGAGCGAAAAAAAAAAAAAACACCTCATATTATTGAATACGAGGAAACATGAACACAAGCTAATGCAGAACATTTCTTGGATGCGCGATTTCTACAAACACAAATAGTTATAATGATATATTGTCAAAAGGTGAACAAATATGTCAGGCTGCAAAATCATTTAAGGAGACTAAACCAGTAAATCTAATTGTTGGAAGCTTCCTTCTCTCATAATATTGTAAAAAAGATAAATAAATTGATAAAATAAATCTTTCACATCTATGGAGAAAAGAACACTCATACAAGTCACAGATCAGGCAACCAAAAATCAAGCGCAGAAGACGAAGAAAAGAATCAAGCATTTTGCTTGAGATATTGCATTCTTCTGAGAATTAAGTTTACTTGGAGGGCCTAATTGTTTAAGAGGATCTGCAGAAATCTCTGTGCAGCACAAAAGAGATCCCGGATTGGGGAAATCTTCTGAGACAGAAAGAGTAGAATCACAACTACTGAGTGGCAATTCACAGCTCCATAAAACCAAAACACAGATAAATCAGAAGTGTATTCAAAATTTCAGAGTTTTGGTGAGAAATTTCAGCTATTACCTAGAAGATGCAGAACTTTATCCATAGAGTAACAAAACAAACATCCCAATTCAAGGAAGAGGATAATGTATAATAACCTTTTATTTCTGTAAAGAGAAAAAGAATTTAAGCACTTCAAAATATCTCTTCAGAAGACTCGAAACCATAAATTCTCTTCCGAAAGATCTCACTAAAAGAAAACAAAAATCTAATCACAACAATTGACAGATCCGTAAATCGACATCTCCAGAAACAAATCATGTACACCGTACAACACACACCCAAGCTGCTACGGAGAAAGATGCACGGCATTTATGAGCAACACAACAAACAAGAAACGTAAACAAGAAGCCATTGAGGAAACAACCTAAGAATGGACAAAAAAAAGATGAGATTTTTTTGAGAAATTACCAGAGACCCAGACTTGAAAACTGAGAATCAAGAGGAACCCATTACTGGGGAGGTCAGAGCTGAAGAGTTCACAGACTCAGAGGGAGGGATGGGTTGAAAATGAGGCTTCTTGTGATGATGCAGAGAAAAGGGACGAAACGGATGCATAGATTTTCGTCCATTGTCACACAGCGGCAAGGCAGAATGCGGAAAGGAGCTTGGCGTTTTGTGGATCTGCTGGGGCCACACCCACTGCTTTCAGAGTTTCAGTGAGCATAAAGGGAGAGAGAGAGAGAATTGGAGAATAACTTACATGGGAAGAGACATGGGATTTGTCAACACTTTGGGTCTATCTATTCTTCACCAGTTTTTCTATATCTCTGGTTGGATTTCTCTTTTTCTAGATCGCCACTAGTGTAAGAATTTCCCGGATTTTCCTTTAGATTCACTCCATTGCTCTGTTTGGTCATAATTTTATTTTATTTTTTTTATAATTTCACCAACTTTATACTCCTCTCTTTTTTCTTACCTGAATTGGCTATATGCTAATTAATATCTACAAACTTTTTTAATCACATATTAATTCATAGAAAAGTCTAGGATCTCGATCATTATAATATTATTTATATTATTTTTTATTCTATTAAATACTATTAATTAATAGTATTTTTTTTGAAGGAATTAATTAATAGTATTTAATTGGTAAGATATTGTCTTGATAATCACAAGGTTTCAAGTTTCACTCTTAATAAGAGCAGTCCCAATTATGAGAATAGTGACTTAGAGTTTTTCTCGTAACTAACAAAATTTAAAATTGAAGAACCTAGTTATATTTATGATCTATCTTCGATCAAAATTCATCATTTTATTAAGGACATTCAGAATGATTTTTCTATTTTCTTCTCAAATTATGGGCTCAACTCCTCCATATCCCTAATCTTAGAGAAACCCTATTAGGAGTTTTTATGTTAGTTCTGTCGAGCTAAAACTTGGTTGCATAGTTTTTAACAAATGGGAGTCTTGATTTTTTCTTATGCAAATACCTAAACTTTGCGCGAAAAAAAAAAAAAAAAAAAAAAAAAAAAAAGACAGTGGAGGGTGAGAGGAGGGAGGAGAGACATGCGTCTGAAGCGCACTATGCGTCCCAACGGACGTGTGTTTTCCACACACTTGCTGGGGTGCTTCAGAGTAACCGCCAATTGGCTGGGGCACTTTAAATGGTTTTGTTTTGTTTTTTTGGCCGGTGCTACACTTTTTCTTTCTAAAAAAAATTGTTAAAACATTTATAATTATAAAATTATTTTAATAAAAATAATTAAAAAATATATATTTTTTTGAAAGCTTATGACTCTATTAAATTGTACTATCTCATATGAGAGAGTCAGTCACTATATGTCATTTGAGCATAAGGTATTGGGCCACGGTGAATGATATAATTTGCCACCAAATCCCATAACCTTATTTAATTGGGCCTGGCAAATAAACTTGTAATGGGCTAAATGGTTATGGATTAGCCCAATATGAGATGGATATTTCACAATTCACATTTAAGGGACTAGATTGGTCAATTGTAGTATAGTACTCCGTACTATATTTTAATATGGAGTAATTTCTTTTTTATCCTCTCACCAAAAAAAATTTCTTTTCTATCCTATGATTATTAGGCCACTTTTACATTTAACTTTTGGTGTACAATTTTAAATTTTTGTTTTTCTTTTCATATTTGATCTTTTCAACCAAATCTCTGGTAAAAAGCAGTGGAATGCATTACATTGCCAATACAAAATCATATATTTTCTCCCAATAGTCTTCGTTTTCACTTTATGATTCAATTTTGATGAGTCGAATTTTATTTTGTTGTTTATAAAGAAATTTCAACGTATATTGCCTCTAGAACATGGTTTAACTGGTCAACAAACATAAAATAAATGCATAAATTTTACTTTGTTAGTAACCACAACATAGGTATACTAGGTTTAATTTTTTTTATTTTATTTTTATTTTTTTGGGATGATGAGAAAAACTGCAATTATTACTTAAAGATATGCATGAGTAAATCCAGCTGATGTGGATGAAAGTATGAATGCTATCACCTCACTGAAGGTCTCTATCATTCTATAATCCCACAGACCATCCTGTCAAAACATATATGATTTGTGTTCTTATATAGGAGAAAAGGGGATAAAATAGAACAAAACTGAAAAATATAAGGCAGTAGAAAACACAGAAACACAGACAACATCATCATATCACCATTAAAGCTCTGAACTCTCCATGAACATACATGATTCATGCTAAGAAAAAAAAGTGGGAGAAGATTAGACCCACCTGGGATGCATAGTAACATAGATAAAGAACAAAACTTTTTTTATTTTATTTCTAGAAGAGATGAACTACTTAAGATCGAACAGGGTATTTCTTAGCATTCTTGAGTATCTTAGTGAGGGCTGCTTTGCCTAGATCAAGCTCACAAACATCTGCTAGCTGTACTAGGTATAGCAGAACATCAGACAGTTCTTCCTCAAGATGTTCCTTGTCATCTGGGCTCCAGTTTGGTAGTCCCCTTGCCACCTCTCCTTTCCACTGGAATATCTCAGACAGTTCTCCTACTTCTCCAACCTGTACAAATTTGGATTAAAAAAAAAAAACAAGAAAAACCCTGGTTAAAACAACCTAGTTTGTGTTCTTGGATAACATTAATGGGATGTTTTGAACTTGGGACATATGTATATAGTTATTTTGCTTTTCTACTTTTGGGTGTGTGTTTAGAGATGAAGGCAGGCAGGCATACCAAAGCTAGAAGAAGATTTCTTGGGCTGTGATACTGCTCCCACCCTCTAACCTTTGCAAACTCTGCAAGCCTGTCTCTAAGCTCCTTAAGTGAGACATCCTTAACATGCCTGCAACACTCATGGGAATTGTCCATAGTTTAAGTATTCTCAAAAAATTTTATGTTTCATGGTTTCTCCAGGTACATGTTATTTATAGACAACCTTTGGGTGCAAGTGGGTGGGAAGGGAGGTGGTTGGGGATATAGTGCGTTTACTGGCTAGAGAAAATTTAATTTTTATTTTTCTAGAGAAATGAGAAACTAAAGAAACGAAAAAAGAAATTAAACGTCTTTACTTGTACAGTTCACCAATTTAAAAACGAGAGTGAAGAATGAAAACTGGAGAAATGAAAAACAGGAAAAACGAAAATCCCCAAGAATTGAATAATGTTAGTGGAGGGAGGGGCCAAAGTGGGTTACTTTCAAAATAGTAATCACATGAAATATTGGCAAAGATGTTTGTGTGTTTCCATCCATCCATGACTTGATATCACTGACTAGTCACTCCCACCTCCTGCTAGGAATATAGCTTTCCAATTGGCCTACTAGCATACCACATTATTTGGCATAATTCATCTTTATCACCTACATATCACCTGCAGTCCCTGTAGAATCATAGCTTTCCCTATAGCTTTGTTCTCTTAACCATAAACTATCAAAATACGCAACTTTATTTCCTCACCAGAGAGACCTGACCCTTCAAAACGACAGTGTCTTGGTTTCGTTGCGCATTTATGTGGACAAATGAACTTCATTTTGCATTAAGGGCATGTCAGATTATGCGGGTCTGACCTGGACAACAAAACCAGCACAAATCTTGAAAGTAATTATGAGGAAAGTGAAAACTGGATGATGTTCAGGCATGCAGCTAGCACGTTTGTCTTTCTTCCACATCCTTCTGCCCTCTAGGTATAGGGGCATGAAATCTTGTTTAGGATGGGGATAAGATCCAAAGCTTGCTTTAAATGTCTAGACATCCTAGATTATTGTTTTGTCAGGCAGTTCAGTTATCGATCCTCCACCACTATAAGACTAGTCCAGGTATAATCGAATTCCGTCAGGTCTATGTCTATAGAGTTTGATTCTTACTCAGGAATACCTAATCGAAACTTTTTAACATGACATAACGTTCTTCCACTCTTAGAACTGCATTTGCGGTCCGCTTACTGATTGCATGGTTTAAATTAAAGTAGCTTGACCTTTTAAGTATATGAACATGCTTGATTGCTTTCACTCTTGGATCACACAGCTCAAAGTATTGTCTTCCACTTTGATCAATATTTGCCTGAAGCTTTGTTCTTCTGATCTCTTCCACAGTAGCCACTTTGTTGGATTCTGAACTGTGGAAACTGTGTCATCATCAATCCTCTGTGGTCTTCCAATCTTATCCATATTCTTCTGCAGATTCCATATTCCACACAAAACACATGCATATATGCATAAATCTCAATATACAAAGATTTCATCATCACAGGAAATCTTCTTTCCAGCAGTGATTCTTGCAGCTGCCCATAGCTACTACTCCTATTAGCTTTTAGTGGGTGATTAGTTTGGGTATAATTTGAGAGGTTCCAAGGGGCGCATAATTAACATGGAACCTTAAACAGCGAAGGAATTGACTCGTACGTACGACTATAATGTTTTTTTTAATCCTCTTCCCCACCCCCACCCCCACCCCCCCTGCACGCTTCCACCCTGCCTTGTCGTCCAAATCTTTTGTGACCCATCATGATCAGGATGTTGATCGTTAGGTACTTGGATGCACCTTCTTAAACAGTAGTATAATGACATTACATATTGTCACATATTGATAAAATTAAAGAACTTTTCAATTTTTAAGACGAAAAATATCTCTAAACTCACAATTCAGTTCCAATGTAAATATAAATATAAATGTAATGAAAAAAGTTTTAATGGACCTCGTTTTTATTCATTAGAGGCTATTAGAGCATTGATAGCTTTCAAGGCGTATTCCATCACCACAATGAGATATCTATATTCTTAAAAGTCAAATTTAAAATCTTTGATTTAAAATCCACGGCCGTTACTCAAAGGTGATCGCTTATGTAAGCCTTGTAACTCTAACCAACAAAGAGGTTATGAGAAGGTAAATTAGACTATGTTGTCGGTACAAATTCGAAATCTGGTTAAATTACAAATTAAAACATATACACTTTAATATGATATCACGCACACTTTATGTTTTGTGGCTAAATATAGACTTGACCAATTCAAGAAATTTATGAATAAAACCAGTCTAATTCATTCTGTTACCTAATTTCCTATTTAGCAAAGAGGGTGTGGCAAACAAGTATCGGAAAACATGGCAAGAACTGAGGAAAGAGCCCAACATTATATTTCTGAAACTATGTGGTTGCATGTAACAATGATCTTCATTGCAGCCATAATTTTCCAAATAAATGCATTGTGTTTTGTGGTGGGTCCACCACCCTCACCCTCCCTTTCTTTTCTTTGATTTTGATAAACTAAAGAGTTCACCATCATTAGAAGTGTGGCTGATTCAAACTCATTCAAAATCCAATCATCACAACTATATATTATCTGCCACTACTTATCTGGAGTAATTATGCAAGTGTTG